ATAAAGCTTCAGAAATCGCGTCTGGCAGAAGCACTAGGGCTGCCCCTGAGTCACTGGAAGTCACTGGTAGGGTTCAGTGTCCACTCACTTTGGGTGATGCACTGCCTTCTGCCTGCCTTTGTGAATTTACTTACCTTTTGTTCTTGAAGCTGTAAGATGTACAAGCGGTTTCAGCTTAAGACACACAAATTCAGGTCTCCTCCTGTGAGATGGGTGTCTCCTGCTGTACTCCAGAGCAAGTTACAGTCAGTGACTTGGAGATTGGTTTGGGGAGTCATAATCTTTAACTGAATCACACTCAGACTTTGGTTCCTGCTGTTAATACAGCCTAGGACACTCGCCCTTCATTTTTGCTTTTCTTTAGCCAGTTGCTTTATTAAATACAATTGTTTAGTTAACTGTCTTAGGGCATTTGTATGATAATGGACTGCCTGGCCTTCAGTAAGACGTGAAGACATGCCTGGCCTTGACATGATCCTCAGAATAAATTTAATTTTTGTGTGTGTTTTGTAAAACCTTTCTGAACTAGTACCAGCCTTTAATCTGAAAATGTTTGGACTAAACTCTGTCTGCCTGTGCTGTATTTGTGCTGAACTAAACCCTGGCAGGTAGAGCAGCCTTTTGCCAAGGTCCATGATATTCCATTTTTGAATCTGTAGTTTTCCTCAGCTTGGCCTCTGCTGAATTAGCTCCATAGGGCTGCACCTGGCAGTTCATCCTTCTCTCACTAGAGGTCTTATTTTTTTAGTGTACGTTTTCCAAGTCCTGTGGAAGGATTACCATTATGGGTACAAAACAGGAGAGAAAAACCTCCTGAATGTTTCCATTCATTATAGTTTATTCTCTCTACTGATTAAAGTGTTGCTACAGTAGTTCCCCTTTACAACTGACAGATGTGTTCTTCAGCAAGTTTGTAAATTCACAGAAATTTAATTTGGGAACAGTTTGAATGGAGAATGAGTGTGTTTTCCAGCTTCCTTCACCAAACTTCCTGCTTGTCCCACATACTTGTGCTCAGGTTTCCATTACTGTTGCTTTTCAGTCTTCTGTTGTTGTATTTGCTGCTCTTTAGCAAGTTGCTCTAATTAGTTTTGCTGCAACTCTTCTTCATTGAGTTCTGTAATTTCTTGACTCTCTCTCTTTCATCAGACTCATCATTTTGTGTAACATCTGCTATTTGAGCTACATCATCCCCTTATTTCTTGCATCTTTAACTCATGAGCGCAGTCCTTCCACAGCGCCTTCCAACAATCAGTCACTCTCACTGCTAATCAAGTCTCACGGAGCCAGAATGTTTTTCAAGGCATGTTGCGACGCTTCAAAAACCCACACGCTGCAGTTTGATTTGTGACTCCTGTCCAATAACGCATTTGTTGTTAGTCGAATGTTTTGGAAGTGGCACTCTTTGGAGGAGTGCAGTGGCGCTGGGTGGTGGGCACAGCTCAGATGGTGAGATGCACGTCCCACAGGCAGGTTGGTCAGCTCTTTCACTGGGGACCAGCGCAGTGTTAAGTGCTGGGTTGTTCACTGACCAGTCTCTGCGACACTGGGTGTTGCTCATGCCTGTGTCTGGACATGAGGGACTGGGGAAGGTAAGCCAGGGTTAAGTGGTTCAGCACCCTCAGGTTTACTGAGCACTAAACTAGTGGGGGGGTTACATTTGGAGTTGCCATGGAAATTACCGTATAATATTAAAATGGGGGGTTTTTCATGATGTCGGATTGGACCAGTTGTTTCTTCAGAGCAGTGACAGGTTCTGATGATGTTTCTGAGAGTCATGTCTCTTCTGTGAATTTACTTACCTTTTTACTTACATTCTGATGCCAAGCTCTGACACCTCTCACCCTGGAGACGCAGCCGCAGCCTCACCATTGGCACGGACTCCTTGCCCTCTGAATGCTGCCACACAGAGGTTGGGGGTTGGTCTTTAATTTTCAGTGCCATCCTTGATTAGTTTGGAAAACCTGGACTGTTAAATATTCACATTATTCTTGAAATAGAGATTCAGAAGATTTTCATTGGGTTGTTTTTTTTGCCAGGTAATACTGTAACTTAATCCATGGAATTTAGTTCTGTGAGAGCATTTTTTCAGTCACAGGGTTCGTGCCTGTCCAGGTCCCTCTGGGTGGTTTCGTGTGTCGTCCCCCCCCCACCCCCGTGTCACCACCCACACAGCCTGGTGTCACCTGTAGACTCATTGAGGGTGCCCTAGGTCCCAGTGTTGGTGTCACCGATGAAGATGTTGAACAGTGCTGGTCCCAGCATGACCCCTGAGGGACACACCTGTCACCAGTCTCCATCTGGACATTGACCACCACCCTCTGGATGGGACCATCCTGCCAATTCGTCATCCACCAAACACCCTATCCATCAAATCCCTCTCTCCCCAATTTGGAGAGCTGTCATGGCCTAACAGAAGTTCAGACAGACACGATGCGTGGCTCTTCCCTTGTCCCCTGATACAGTGACTCCACCACAGAAGCCATGAGGTTGGTCCAGCAGGACTTTGCCCTCAGTGATGCCAAGGTTGTCTTGAACCACCTCTCTGTCCTCCATGTGCCTCAGCAGAGCTGCTGGACCACCGTATCCTGTGTGTATCACCCCACCTGGTTGGCCCCATGTCCGTCTGTCCATCCCCCCTGCCATTACAGCTTCTCTGGAGCAGAATCCTCTGTTCTTTCCCCTCCAGGATTGAATCTGCTGCTTCCAAAATGAGTCGCCTTCACACTACACAAAGACAGAGCGAATAGTCACTGGTTTAGTTTATCTTCCTCTGCTTCCAGCACAGATGCCAGTTTTCTACCGAATTTATGTAATTATCACATGCTCACCTTGATGTTCCTGCAGTTGGCATTGATTGAGGGGATCGTTCACTTCTGCACAAAAGCAGAGCAACCACTAGTCCATCTGCTGGATTAGAGGGTGGCTAAGAACCAGAGCCAAAGTGTTGATACAGAAATTGCAGACTTCACACAGGGCAAATGACATTAACTAAAGGCTCTAAAATGTAAAGTAAACTTTATTATCCTTGAACCACAAAATAGATTTCTTTGGTTGTACAAATTTCACTAGTTACAGTCTTGATGCGCTAATTTTCCCTCAGAGTCTCTCGGGAGAGAATGGGAGAGAACCCAGAGCCTGGCACCAGGTACCGCAAAGGGAAAAGAAAAAAAAAAAAAGAATCACAAGTTAGTCACCAAAACCAATCCAGGATTGTTTCCAAAATTGCTGTTGTTAAAAAGCAAATGCTAAAATTAGATTTAAAAAGGAAAAGCTCAAATTGCTGATGATGGAAGCAGCCGCAGCTGCAGTTTGAGATTATCAGAGTTCCCCCTTCAAAGCTCTGTAAAATTAAAAGGTACAAAGTCAGTTAAAAGGATCCACTGGATTTTGGCATGAAGGGCAGTTCTCAACTGACAGGAACTGCGTCCAGTTCTCCCTCAGCAAAGCTACGAGCTCAAGTGCCTGTCGCTCCCGTGCCTCCAAGAGGCTCCAGGTCCAGCTCTGGTCCTGCTGCTGGGGATGCAGCAGAGAGCACCGCGGCGTCGGGGCCAACAGGTCACTGCCGAGCTCAGGCGCCTTTCACCATATCGGAGGCATTAAAAAAAAAGAAAAAAAAAAGAAAAGGGATGTTTTACTTTAGTGGTGGAGAGCAGAGCAGCAGAGACTGGTTTCAGAGCTCTAGGCAGCATCTGCCTCCTCCGAGTCTGCAAAGCTCATTTGATACCGAATTCCTTCTCGGCCCTCGTTCCGCTCCTGGAAGCCAGGAATCGCACCCCTGCTCTTTTTTTAATTTTCATTTTTTTCCCTCTTGCACAGGTGGGGATGTATTTTCTCAGTTCTACATGGAAAGGGGCCTGAAGCCAACGAGTCGGCAGAGAGTAGAATTGTGTGGTTATTGCAAGGCACAGGCCGGACCCGTCCCCCTTCCCTGTGCTCCCCGCAACGTCCCATTCCCTTCCACAGCCGGGGGACTCACCCAGTGTCCTCCTCCCTGTGAGACCCTGATACTCCTACCCTGACCCCCCTGTCGCTGCTCCCCCCCGTCCCCTGAACCCCACCCCGCTCCCTTTGCTGCTCACGCTCCCCACCTCTGCCACCGTCCCCAATCCCCCATTATTCTGCTCACTACGGCTGTCACACACTGCTACGCTCCCGCTACAGCTTCTCGTCTTCCTCCTCTCTGCCCTGCCTCACCCAGTCCCTCCTGGACCCCTGGCCTCCTCTGACACCCGGTGCTTGTGCCGTGGGTCTCACTGCAGGCATGGGACACACGCAGAATTGCACGTGTCCCCCCCGGCAGGTGCCCGTCTCCCAGAACAGTAGAGTATCCTGTGTGGGAGAGACGGCTGCGCTCACGGAGGCAAGTGGCAGAGCTGGCACAGGGTTCTGCTGTTCAGGCTCCTCGGGCACACAGGTGTCAGCCTCAGAAGGAGGCACTTCAATGTAACTCTTTTTTTTTTTTTCCCCCCTTTTTTTTTTTTTTTTTTTTTTTTTTTTTTTTCCCCCAGTGTCCTCCTCCCTGTGAGACCCTGATACTCCTACCCTGACCCCCCTGTCGCTGCTCCCCCCCGTCCCCTGAACCCCACCCCGCTCCCTTTGCTGCTCACGCTCCCCACCTCTGCCACCGTCCCCAATCCCCCATTATTCTGCTCACTACGGCTGTCACACACTGCTACGCTCCCGCTACAGCTTCTCGTCTTCCTCCTCTCTGCCCTGCCTCACCCAGTCCCTCCTGGACCCCTGGCCTCCTCTGACACCCGGTGCTTGTGCCGTGGGTCTCACTGCAGGCATGGGACACACGCAGAATTGCACGTGTCCCCCCCGGCAGGTGCCCGTCTCCCAGAACAGTAGAGTATCCTGTGTGGGAGAGACGGCTGCGCTCACGGAGGCAAGTGGCAGAGCTGGCACAGGGTTCTGCTGTTCAGGCTCCTCGGGCACACAGGTGTCAGCCTCAGAAGGAGGCACTTCAATGTAACTCTTTTTTTTTTTTGCCCCCCTTTTTTTTTTTTTTTTTTTTTTTTTTTTTTTGCCTCCAAGCTGCCTTTTTGGCAAAAGACTGGAAATAAAACAGGAGCAAAGGCAGTCTGGACCTTCCTTCTAATTCACATCAGAGTAGAAGCTCCCATATTAACCACTAAAACAATCCAAGTTGAGGAAACAACAGCTGGAGCCCAACGCACTCTCTACGTTCTCCCTGTCCTACCCTTCCCCACACACACTATTTACAGGCTAACGAGCTGCCCACCGTCCTGCCCACACCTCCTCTCCCTTTGCCGTCAGTAAGTCTAGTGTTGTCCTGTTTTCAGGATGTGCCCCAGTGCATTATCAGTGAGAAAAGAGGGCGGTTCACAGCCTCAGAGGACGTTAGTTGACCACAAAGCTCCCTGGGGTGCTCAGTTCCCAGCCGGAGCCCGGGAGGCAGCAGTGTGGGCAGTTCGTGCTGTCCCCGGAGCGCAGGAAGCTCGACAGCCCCGCACCGGGCCCTTCCGTTGCCCAGGCCCCTCGGGTCCTCTACGTAGGGACGGCAGCCTCCAGGCTGCGCCGGCTGTGTCGGAGCTTGCGTTTGCTGCTGTACAGGGCCATTTCTTCAAGTGCTGATGGAGTGGGTGTGGATGAGTCGTGAGTTCCTAATGTGTCCTCTTCCTCGGGCTGCCCATCCTGCTCCTGGGGAACTGTGCAGAGCAAAAAAGTGGAGGTTTTAAGAGAAAGTGCTGGGTTAAGTAACTGCATCGCTGATGCAGTTAATGTAGACACAATGGTGTACCCAGGCACTGACTCTGGGACAGCACTGGAGTCTCAGTGATTTACAGAAATCCTGTGCTCAGAGCTTTGAAGTGGCTCGTGCACTAACGAGTGTGGATCGGGGAAGGAAGTCACACACGTGAGGAAGCACCTGCCCCTAACACCGTGATTCACTGAAAATCACTGGAAGCAGGAAGCCTTAGGACAAACCAGGTATTCCCAAAGGACTCGGGTGTGTGCTCCAAGCATTTCAGTAGTTCCAATAGAGGAGCACACAGTAACGAGCAATTTGCCCACCAGAAGAGTAACACTAATGAGAGAGGGGAGCATTTTGGTCTTGCTTAACGTTGCAGGTACAGGACTAAGCACTTTCTGCAAACTTAGTAGCAGCCTTAGTCACAGCCCAAATGTAGCAAAGTTATGTAGGGAAAAGATCAGAAAGGCCAAAGCCCAGCTTGAACTGAACCTGGCTTTGGATGTTAAAAACAACAAAAAGAAACTCTATAAATATATTAGCATCAAGAGTAGGACTCGGGACAGCCTCCATCCGCTATTGGATATGGGAGGCAATGTAGTGACAAAGGATGAGGAGACGGCTGAGGTGCTGAATGCCTTTTTTGCCTCAGTCTTTAGTAGTGGAATAGGGTGTCCCCTGAGTACCCAGACCCCTGAGCCAGCAGATAAGGGCAGGGAGCAGAATGAAGCCCTTGTAATCCAAAGGGAAGCGGTGAGGGACCTGCTCCAGCACCTAGACACAAACAAGTCTATGGGCCCAGATGGGATCCACCCAAGGGTACAGAGGGAGCTGGTGGAAGTGGCCCATCCTCTGCTCTGGAGCCAGACTCCAAGATGCAACATCCTCCTTGAGACAGCACCCAGGTACGAGCAGTCATTATAGTTCAGAATCCTGATGGAACTAATTAACCTGTTGTCTGAAAAGGCCTCAGAGCTAAACAAATGCAGGCGACAAATGTGACACCTGGGGCTGGGTGTGCAGTGACTGACCTCCAAACAGGCAGAATGGGACAGGACGGGCACGTGCAGGCAATAACCCAGGTGGGGGAGGAAATCAATGAGGCTCAGAGGGAATTCCTTCCTTTTGGAACCTCTTGGACCAGAATTTGCCAAAGGAGCCATCAAACATGCGAGTTAAGTGACCTCAACACAGCACACCGAGCTTCTGAAAAACCTGCTGGCTGTTCCTTAGCCGAAGCTCTCAGCAAGAACAAGCTGCCTCAGGAGGAGAAGGCACATCCTTCAGTGGGTAAATAAGCAGTTAAAACACAGGAAAAAGTGCAGGGAGTTATTACCTGCTGTCACCACAGAGCAGGGACCTGTATCAGGGTCAGTGTTTGGTAACGGATGAGAAGTGACAGACTGTACTGAGAGAAACTGCTGATGGTATCAGCTCTGTATCAGGGGAGTCAAATGAAACTCAGCTACAAAAAAGGGCATTAGGACTTTACAGAGTTGACTGGGAAATGATATGGAAGGTGAAATTTACTGCAAATGCAAATAGATTCAAGAAAGAAGTAAACAACTCTAAAAGTAAAGGCTTATGAAGTGCTGGAACACCAACTGTTGTAGCCTGGAGTAGTTTTCTAAAAGGAACCACTTTATGCTTCTCTTGTTTTATGCTCTTTTCTAGACATTCCCAGAGGCTCATGTCAGACACGATATTGGAGTAGCCAGAACCTCATGCTGACCTAATAAGTTTATTTTTACACTACTGGATGATGCTTAAGATCAATAAAAGTGATCTAATCCCAACTGCATATGAAACACAGCATCCTTAAATGAGATGATGATTCTGTAAGTCATTGGGGGAGCTCTCTGAAGACACCAGCACCTCTCAGCAACAGCATTTCACTTTTGAGGATTAGATATCAGAAAAGATGGCAGAACATACAGAAAACCTTCTGCTGCTGTGTAAACTCACCATGTACCTGCATTTGCAATCCTGCAGACCCTGAACAACGGGCATCACCCGCTTACAGCAGGTGACAGAGGCCTAAACTCCCCACCCATGCTATTCATTACTCCAGAACACAAACCCAGGCATGCTGTAACACACACAGAGCAGATTAGCCACCACTACAGCACAATGCAAACATCCTACCCAAAACTGAATGTGGCGGGTTTGGGGGTTTCATTCTAGAAGGGACAAAATAGGACATTGCTTCAAGCAGCAAAAGGTTGAAGTCCTCAGGGCTGACTCCACAAGCAGGAGAAGGGTAACCCTCTCAGCTGGTGGTGGGAAGTACGGAGTACAAAGAGGAGTCCTTGGCCCCTGAGCTTACCTGAGTTATTCCTGTCCTCGATGTATCTGAGGTCATCAGCAGCATCAGGCGACTGGAAGAGAGAAGACGACGTGAGCACCCACCTCTGCAGCACCAGTGCCAGGCAGTTCCCCACCTCCAGCTTCCAACGTGCTACAGAAACCTTCTTGCCCTCAGGGGTGCTGGTGACACAGCGGCTGGGGCATGACCCTCAGTGAGTGCACAGGATTTTTTACATTAGTCCTTTGTGCTGACATCCAGCAGCCTGTTCACTGCCTGAACTGCAAGACGAGGTGTGTGTCTGCCCATCAGAGCTCTCTTCCTTTTACGCTGTGTGTGGGGAAGGATGATGGGCAGTGGCATGAAAGGCAGAAAGCGCTAAGACTAGAAAATGAATAGAAACATGGGAGGAGAGCAAAGACATGAGCTACATTTCCTTCAGAGTCCTGGATCCTAATTCTGCCCTGTGCTGTTCCCAGGCCTGGCTTCTGACACAAAATCAACTTTCTTATCATAGAGTGGTTTGGGTGGGAAGGGACCTTAAAGCCCCCCCAGTGCCCTGGGCAGGGACACCTCCCACCAGCCCAGGTTGCTCCAAGCCCCCTCCAACCTGCCCTTGAACCCCTCCAGGGATGGGGCAGCCACAGCTTCTCTGGGCAACCTGGGCCAGGCTCTCACCACCCTCACACCAAAGAATTTCCTCCCCACATCTCACCTAAATTTCTACTTTTTCACCTTAAAACCCTTCCCCCTCCTCCTAGGGCTCCCCTCCCTGACCAGGAGTCCCTCCCCAGCTTTCCTGGAGCCCCTTGAGAGACTGGAAGGGGCTCTAAGGTCTCCCCAGAGCCTTCTCTTCTCCAGGCTGAACCCCACCCGACCCTCCTCTTTATATTCAGGTGTGAACAGAGAACTGAGGTGGGACAGGAGGCAGTTACATCTCAACAGATGGCCGAGACAGCTGTGGGGAAATGGCTCATGATAATCATGAAACTTCACCAGTTCCTGCTAATGTTAAAGCCTCCACAAAATGAAGACCTTTCCAACAACCAGAGCTGGCTGTAGCTCATTGCACCAGAGTGACACCACCATGAGAAAACAACTTTGTTCATGGTCAGGAACTTGAAGTGGCTTGAAAATCTGCACTACTCTGGGGCCAGGCAGAAATGTACCAAGCCCTGTTTATTTTGCTGAATTAGAGCATTTAATCCAGCTGTATATAGTGCTTCAGGGATGGAAAGGTCAAAGTATTATGTTGAAATGTTCTGGTTACTTCAAAAGTGGCTGCATTTGTTACTTCTACTGATCTTTCTAGGTTTGTACACAATATTTACATTGAGCTCAACAGTTCAACTTTGAGCTACACAATTGTAAGGATGGGGATTCAGAAGAGCTCAGTATTCAGCAAGTTTAATAACGCCAAACTTGCTGGAGAGTTCTGGCTACTACTGATCAAAATCTGTCTTTTAGAGGTGTTCTTGCTCAGCTCAAGAGCAAAAGTGAGGAGTAGCTTAATTTTTTTTTTAAAGTTGTAGGATAAAGGTGGGTGCACACCCCAAAGGGAAGGGATTCAGATAAAAAAAGGGGTGACTACCAAGGGCTGGGCAGTACCACCAGTGAGAGGAGTCAGCCAAAATGCACCAAATAGCATCTAACCACCCGAGAATCCTCACACCACAGCTCTGCTGAAGTCAGCCTGGCTCTGGAGATGACACCTTGGGCCTGGGATCTGTGTGTCCTGACAGCATGATAAAGCCCAGCACGTCAGTGCTCGTGAGCTCTCCACACACAGCACAAACCTGACTGCGGGCATCTGCTTCACTCTTTATATACAAACCAAAAAAACCTAAAAAAAACTCCTCCCAAAACCAGCCTATAGACATACAGTATCTTCTCAGATCAGCTGTTACAAATGCAATCAGTTAATGATGGACCCAGACAGTAAGAGAAAGGCAGTTCACAGTCCTGGGCGACTACACCAGCCTGAGTCCCCAAGGTGTAGGTGGCCCTGATTGAGCGAGGGGACTGGTGATGACCTCCAGAGGCCCCTTCCTACCTCTGAAGCTCCTGTGATTCTACAGCAAAGCAGCTTAAACAAAATGAGGCTCTTTTAGGAAGAAGAGCCACCTCACTGTGGTGCTCACCCTCCAAACTCGGTGTTCTTACCCATCATCACTTCCCAGTTCATCTACAGTAGTTATCATGAATGAGAGTTGTCACCAGAGCTGCCTCTTGCACAGAATGCTGGTACATTCTAGTCTGAAGCCAACATTTGCTCCAATTTGCAATTTGTTGGCAATCATTTCTATACCTTTTTCTTCCTTTTTAGTTCTCATAGAATCATAGAATGGTTAGAGTTGGAAGGGACCTTAAAGATCATCAAGTTCCAACCCCCCTACCATGTGGCGGGTTCTTATCTTTCACTTAAAAATATTTCAGGATCAATTAAGGTGAAGATGTAGCTGCTTTATATTTGCAAAACTTTTGTTGTTAATTTTAAAACCACCTGGAGCAACTTTCTCACCACTCCACTGGACTGGAATCTCCAATAAACCCTCAGTTACACCACGTGGCTGGTTGTCACTGCCTCCTGTGCAGACATGGCTTTGAGGGACTTCCTCAAGTTATTCAGCCTCTGCTCGGAGGGTCATCACTTCACGAGCAGGCACTGCCCCCACCTCAGGCCCTAATGTGGCAGCCCAGCATGCAGTTTATACCTGAATTTCGTAAACGGGTTTGGAGGAAGGAATAGCAGCAAATTCCCGGTAGTCAAACTTCTTTTCAGACATGGACTAGAAGGGACAGCAAAAGAGAAGAAACAGAGAAGAGCAAGTAAGGGGAGAGAAACGGGTGGAAAACACGAGCAGGCTGAGAAGGCTGAGCAGAGACAGAAGCAGCAGCAGAGTGTCCTTCTCAGTTAGTGCCCAGAGCCCCTGAATATGGCTCTGAAAACGAGGCATCGCTGGGACACCGTTTTAGCTGTTCTGGATCAGGACAGGGGCTCCAAGTTGCAGAGAGAAGATGATGTGATGTGGTAAAACGCACGTCACACCATGTGAGGCAGGAAACCTGTTTTTGTGGAAAAATTGGTGGCAAGGTTCCTGGGGCTGTAGTTTAGTCAGGATTTCAGTCCAGAGCTGGCTGTGCTGTGGGACCTGAGGCAGAACCAGGTCCTCTCTGAGCAGCTGCTCCCGCTCTGCCCTTTCTCTGTCCTACCAACTCCAACAGTTCTCTGCAACAATGTCCTGTTCCATTTATGCAGTGCTTAGAAAAAGGAAAATGCTGATTACAGCTCAGTTCTCAGTTTCATGCTGTTGAGGAAGCAGGGGGCCAAAGTCTCTGAAGTGAAGGGCTTTCTGAACACAGATTAAGTACCAAGAAAAGGATGAAATAATAAATTAGGGAGACAGAAAGCAGATGTTACATTGAGTTGCAAAAAGTGGGGACGCCTCTAGCAATGGGTACGGCAGAGCTCCATCCACGGCGGCCTCCTCGCAGCCCTACACATCACGCAGCCAGACCTGGCTCAGGTATTTAAGGAGGGACCCCAGGGCCCAGAGGAACAGCCCACACCCAAGCCAAGAAACTGATAAACCCCGGTATTATCGGCAAGATACCAAAAGGAAGCAGAGGGATGTCATACCAGCCTTCCTGGGGAGGTGACGTTCCTGGGACTGCAATCTGCAAAAGATGACAGAAAAGCACTACTCAGTGAACGGCTGTGTTGGACCCAACGCCTTCCCAAAGCTGCCCCTTCCCTTTAGCAGCATTTAACCATAGTCTCTTCTGCACTCAGGACAGACAGCATCACATGGGGTTGGAAGGGACCTCTGGATATCACCTAGTCCAAACCCCTGCCTTCTCACAACAAACGCCTCTTTCCTGTCTTTTTAACAAGTCACGATGCTGGTTAGATTTCTGCTTTGATTCCCTAGAACCCCACCTCAGCTGTTCTCTCACTTTCTCAATAGATCAGGCCCATCCCCTGTGCTGAGGGACGTCACATGCCCCAAAGGGCCTTCCAGTCCAGGCTGTGGGAGGGAATTGCTTTGAACGGCTCTGCTGCCAAGCCCGTTAACCTGGAGAAGCATTAACTTTTCCCCTCCGAGACGGAGAAGGCCACACAGTACCTTCCAGTGGTGTCGGTGACGGTGTAGGAACTGGCGAGGGGGACTCTGCCAGCTGCTCCAGCGGGCTGCGCTTCTTCCCCTCCTTGGACTTGGCAATGACCATCTGGGCTTTCAGAGCATCCTGTTCAAGCGATTTCATCCTGCCTCGGGAACGAGGGAGGGGAAAGAGACGTCAGATAAGAGAGACTGAATTGAGATAAAAAGACTCTTATCGAGATAAGATGGCATCTCGATAGGAGATGAGGCCACCTTCTGCGCCCAGTGGCAGATCCAGCACCTGTGGTCCCCTGGGGCTGCCAGACTCTCACAGCAGGAGAGAACAGCTCAGTTTGCTGTTATCCTGGGACTCACAGACAGAGCCCAGAGCTAAGCACCAACACCCTGAGGAGCCACAGCCCTTTCCAGAGGTGCCAGACAGGATGGGAAAAGAACCCAAGCTGGGAAAGGAACTGCAGGGGCTCAAAGGAGTAGGGTCAGTCCTTGGGGCTCTCCTCTCCTCTCTGCTCTCAGTGTGTCGCATCTTAGCCCCCTTCAGCCACTGGGAGATAATGAAACAGTGAAGAAAAGGTGGGCTCAGCCCTCAGAAATGTCTGCTCCCATCTCCCCATCAAACAGACCCAGCTTCCCCCCCTCATCCTCGTGGAAACGACTGCTGGTGGATGGGTCTGGGTATCTCAGGAAAATTACTTTCCCCCCTACCCCTCGCCGCTGGGAGGGCCGTGGGGACACAGGGGACGGAGGGGAGCATGGAGCATGCAGCTGGCGGGGAGGGGACTGCGCACACCTGGAATGGCTTCCTGACCCAGGGGGTGCCGAGGCGTGACTCTGCTTGGGACTAGGCATCGGAGCTGGCCCGGCCCCGGGAGCAGGTGCCCGCTGTCGGGACTGGTACAGCCTCCTGGCCAGGTCCTGCTCGTACTGTTTAATACTGTCTTCAAGAGCTGAGGATCTGAGGAGGAGGAGGAGGAGGAAGAGGAGAAGGAGGAAGAGGAGGAAGAGGAGATGATGATGAACATCGCAGCAGACAAGCGTAGGGAAAGAAACAGATACAGGAACATACCCTGGCAAGGAGAAACACGGGTCTGAGATAGGGGCAGCCTTGATTAAACCAGGCTCCTATATCTGATCCTGCCCAACACCGGCTGCTGCAGAAGGAGCAGGAACCTCCAGAGGACAATCTGGGATGAGGTGCCCAGAAACATTAGCCTTCAGGGCCCTGGTGTCCAGAGACAGCCCTCCTCGTGGGCCAGGAGAGGACCAGGAACACCCAGCAGACCCATGAAAAAGGCCCAGGAGGTCGTTACGAAGGAGTGTCTGTGTTTAAGCAGAGTGAGGGCGCGCAGAGCATGAGTGTGTGTGCACATCTGACAGCCTCTTCATGTACATACATAGATCTGCCCAGCTGGCAGCACGTACCTTTGTCTGACCATGAGAATAGAAGAAGCAAAATGGACAAGCCTATAGAGTCATAGAATTGTCCAGGTTGGAAGGGACCTTTCAGCTCCTGGAGTCCCACTAGGACCTTGGGTCCAGACCCAGCACCGACCAACCCACCACTGACCCGTGTCCCTCAGCACCACGTCTGCCCAGCTTTTCAATCCCTCCAGGGATGGCAACTCCACCACTGCCCTGGGCAGCCTCTGCCAAGGCTTCACAGCCCTTTCCAGGAAGGAATTTTCCCCAATATCCATCCTAACCTTCCCCTGGCCCAACTTGAAGCTGTTTCCTCCTGTCCCATGGCCTGTTCTTTGGGAGAAGAGACCGACCCCCACTGGTTACACCCTCCTTTCTAGGAGTTGTGGAGGGCGAGAAGGTCAAACATTACGGAAGGTCTGTCTGCCACAGGCCCTGGGACACATGCAGCTGAAGAGGTGGGTGCATCCATAAAACAGGGTGGGAATAGCAGGAGAGCTGCCCTCCAGCCCTTGCTGGACATTTGCCCCCCTCGGTGCGTGCCGGTGTGTACCTCCTCGGTCACACTCTTCCCAGGGGACTAGCACCAGTGGCTGTTGTGTGCCCAGGGCATGTCCCAGGGTGTGTGTCCCAGCAGAGCACAAGGGTGTGTGCTGGGAGGGATGGGGGGGGCACAGCACATGTCCTGGCATAGCACTGGTGACACAGGGGCAAAAAGGAAAGCCCAAGAAGGTGCAAACTGATGGGGTCGCGAGGGACAGCACACAGAGCAGAGAACTGGAAAGAAGCAGAAGACAGGGGATTAGAAAGAAAGCAATAAAACCAGCATCATGCATGTGAGGAAACACAAGCCAGCGTGGCTGCAGCACCCTGTGAGGGCAACACAGCGCTGCCGGGGGCCTCTGGAAGTGAGCCCTCAGCCATCCTGTCACTGTTGCTCACAGAAGAGGGACCCTGGGAAGACCAGCCCATCCCAGGAGATCTGCAGTAGCAGGGAACAGTCCATCCTCGCCTTACAAAACGCAGCACGTTTTGGTGACTGATTCCTGCCAACCCTGCCCGAGGCATCAGCCCGACACTTCTGCGAGAGTTGCACAGAAAGTGACACCCTAGTTCCAGAAGCGACGTGGAGCCGAGGAGCTTCTCTGTAGAACGTACAACCAGCAGCACCAGGTCTGACAACTGAAGAGCCGGGCAGCTGCAGGCAGCTTCTCCTGGTCCTGTATTCCTACCTCCGAAAGGCTCTCCCTTCACCAGGTCATTTTCCATGGACAAAACCAGCGTAGAAGAGAAGAGACCAAAGGTCTGGAAGGCAGGGATCTCTCTCCTGCCCGTAGTGGACAAAACCACTGTAACTTAGCACTCTCTAACCCTTCTACACTCTAAAGTACAACTTTTCCCGTGCCCTAAGCAGTTTCAACAAAATCCTAGCTAATCCAAAAGCGCAGTCAGATGTTACAGGAGCAAATCATGGGATCACCTAAAAAAATCCTGCTCCCCCCAGCATTTTTTGATTTCTGTATTTGCTGGGAACAGCAGCAAGTTCATGGAAGAGCAGAGAGTCCCGAGGCAAGTGGTGCACATTCTGTGACACGAGCGATGTCCTTGTGATGGTTTCACTTTCCAAGGTTTGCGTGGGCAAAGCCACGTTTCTCCTTTCTCCACCCATCCTGAACAAAGCTTTTATTGCAGCAGCCCTTGGCTACCTTCATGCTGAGGCCTTGGAGGGATCAGAGCTGGCCTAACCCATAAACCCTGCCCCATCCTATGAGGAAACATGTGAGGGAAGGGGAGGCAGGAGGCAGAGAAAATCCTGTGTATCTCATCGGGAAGGGATGACCAACCGGTCTGTGCTGCCTCTCTGAGCACAGCAATGCTGGTTTTCAGGGGGAGAAGCCTGACAGACAACTCCTGTTCCGTTGGACCAAATACAACAGTGGAGTGGGTTTTTTAGGTCCAAAGACTGAGCAGCAACTCTGTGCACAATGTGTGCTCCTGACGACACCACGGTGCTTACGCAGCAACTTCAAAGGTCTCACAAATGTGCGACAAGATGAGAGGAATCAATCTTTACCAAATCAAGGCTCTATGTAACAAACAGGCTTTGCTGTGACTGGCTCTGCTTTCTGATGTTTCTGATGACAGGGCATGAGACTAAGGCTTCAGACAAAAATTCCCAGCTGAGACAGACCAGGCAAACAGCTGGAGGATACCAAGAAAGTTTTTCTCGAAGGGCAAAAGCCCTGGTAATGGGGAACATTAGTCCAGCCCTAAATAAACCATAAGCACATCTGCTACCCGATCAAGTAACAATGGGAAGCTTTGTGCTCCCAAAGCCCTAGATTAGATAAATAGCTAGATCTGACTGAGGATTCCACTATGTATGTCTTCACCCTCAGAGCTTCCCAGAAGGTGACAACACCGTTATCACCCATGCTAAGCACAAACACAGGAACTGCCAAGTGGTGTTACAACTCACGGTCACCCCTCCAGCACCTTATCCAGCAGGAGGAGTCACGGGCAGCCCTGATCCTCTAAAAGTTCTCCCCCAAACCCCCAAAGAGACTGTTTCAGACTGTCCTATGAATGTCTCCTACAGGAACATTATGGGAAGAAAACTATAATTACTTATAGGAGGAGCCTGCCTAATTTTGAAAGGAATTAAATGACACAGTAAATGCCTGGACTAACTTCAAGTCTTAAGTTCTGAGCTAAGAAGTTCTCTTTCTTCCAAAACAATTCAAACAAAAGCTGATGAAACAGCTTATATGGATAAGAATGCCCTCATCTTGCTCTTTTCTTGGCTTCAGCAAGTTTTCCAGTCTAGCACTGGATATGTGTCTGTACACGTCTAGATATGGGGATCTATCACTGGATGTGTGAGATGCTCTTTCCATTTTTCACTTTGAACCCGTCACCTTGAAGCTTCAATAAATACCATCTTTTTCCTGTGTTACAAAGGAGGTGGAAGCTGTGTGCTGAGCAGGGAGGAATACAGTCACCATCACATAAAGGCGTTGAGTTTTTTATAAAACTCCACTCTTTTCATGACTGTGCAGGCACTGTTGAAATGTAAGAGTCACCTCACTCACGCAGCTCGGAAGCAGATGAGCTCAGCCAAGCGGCGATGCTTCACACTGTTTGAACAGGTACAATATGACCTCCCCTAACGAAGGCTTGTTTGTTCCCTGTTTTTAACACCATGTAATCCAAAAGACATGCAGCAGGTCCCCCTTTCCTGAACTAGGCTAACAAAGAGTGAAGGTTCTTGTGTCTCACCGTGCTGCCCTCCACATTGCTCGTTTCTCCGCCTCCAGAGCACGACGTTCTGCAGGAGAAAGCTCCTTCTCTTGGCCACTCAGCAGCTCAGGACTCTGCATTCGCAACCGCTCCTGGTGTCGCCGTTCAGCTTTGGCCGTCCGCACGGGTGCCACTGCGTCCCCTGCTCCAAGGTACAAGGGACTCAGCCTGGGCAGAGAGAGGAACAGTGAGAGGTGAGGTGGGCTGGCCTGGGCCCCTGTTTTCAAGATAAAAGGTGATGACCAACATCCCCAGTCAACGGTTTAGTACCACATCCACCACATCACCTTGGGAGATGGAAGGACACACAACAGAGGTGAGTTTCTCTGAAGAAGTTGGTTCCGATCACTTTCTCCACAAAACCCTTCCTTTTACACCCTACAGCTGCTAAAAAGGAGGTGGCATCTGCCCTATCACCAAGCAGCTCCCAGGCAGAGGATGCTGCCAATCCGCTTACCCAGACATGGAGTTGGTTCTCTGCTCAGCCTTGATCCCCTCTTCCAGTGAATTCCTCTGCGAGCTGCTGTTCTCGTTGACCTCGGAGGGCCTGGAGGAACATAAGCACATCAGGTAAGGGTCCCACAGGCTGGTACAGCCCAGAGAGGGCTGGAACAGACCCCAGGACGTAACACCTAGTTCAATCTGAAGACACAACCCTTAAAGATTTTGCTCAACAGCTCCCCCTCCATTGCTGCAAGCCTTTCCTTCCTGATTTCACAAACTTTCATGCTCTCTAAAATCAGAACTCATGTTCCTCATGTGGAGCCCAACCATCCACTGAAACACACTCTTCCAGTGCAACGGAAGGTGTTTGCTGATGAGTTCTTGCCCAGTTCCAGCTTGGCTCCTTCCAGCTGCCATGGCTGCTCCCAGCATTTCCCTGTGCTGCTGCTGGAGGTGCCTGGATGTTAATGAGGGATCTGCTAGGCTTTAACTGAGCGCCCATCTGGGCTTGGGTGAATCCCAAGCGGTCTCAGAACAGCGATTCTCAGTATCAGCTCTCCCTGCGTGGCTGCTGGACACACGGAGGCTCTGTGCTCACAATTACTGCAAACTTGCTCATTACTGAACCACTGCAACGTTCAGATCAGCTGAGCCACAGTCACCATCTGCACTCCTACGCTCTGCACACACAGACACTGCTTGGTTTGGCCTGAACTGAAAGGGGGTTGCACCAGCCTGTTTTCCACCGGTTAAGAACATCCACATGGTTACTGTGGGTCAGGTGGCAGCAAGAAAGTTTATTATGACTTTGAGCCCTTATTTTTACTGCTCAAGTTTACTTTGATTAAACTTTGATAAGTGTTTTCAGCTGCTGTAATTTGAAATCTTATGAGAAGCTTTTTCTCCTTCCCCAGTCTTATGGCCACGAATTAGAAAAACTAGATCAACATAACCTGGAGGATGAGTCCAGGAGAACGAGGAAATAAAAGCCTAAAAAAACCCTAATGTAGGTTGATCACCAGGGCTTATCTTGAATTAGCTGTCTCTAAAAATCAACATCTCTACAAACCCAAGTACACAGACAGCTGAGGGAGTGATTCTTCTGAAAAGAAAGAGCCAGAAAACCTTGCCCAGTTCTATGCTGAAGGAGAAAAATTGCCCAGCCCTCTTCCCTGAAGATCGCTGACAGCTCTGATGTGTGCAGGTGGCAGTGAGCTACCAGCCCTGTCTTACCGAGTGGCCGGAGACTGGCTGCTCCTCCCGTTGAGTCTCTCAATCTTGTACTCGACTCCTTCAATGATGACACTGGACTGCACGCTCACCTCAGGCGCCTGCTTCGCCATCTCCTCCTCTTCTGCCTCTTCCTCCAGCAGAAGGGTACGTTTCTGCTGCAGTTTTCGAGCTGCCAAAGTAAGACAGACTCATCTTACACCACAAAGCGCTCGCTAAACCACCCCGCCTCGAGGATGTAACCTCTGGGCAGGTCCTTGAGCTCATCATCCCAAGTCTGTGCTGTTTTCAGTCCATGCTCTCTCCTTGGATGCCTTTGTTTCTCCTCCACTTCACTAACGCTTCAGATGCAACAAACTCTACACTGTCCCCCAAAGGGTTTTATTTATTTGTTTTTATTTTTAATTCTAGTACTTGGAGATATCCTGATTAGAGGTGATGTTTGTCCTCATCTGCCCCATTCAGCAAATCTCAAAACAAGCTGAAAGGCAAGCCTGAAACTCGCCTTCTCTCATTCCATCCTTTGTATCTTGATCTTTGTGTTTCCTACATCTCTCTTTCAGCCATCAGTGAGAGTCTGACATACCCAGACAACTTCTTACGTTGGACCTGGGATTCTTTTCGCCACATCGTATTGAAGAAACCCAAAATGACAAGTTGCAATCTCTTTTTCTTACCTTCCTATCTTTTATGAGCTTGCTCTTGTCTTAAAAGGTGTTCATGTTCCTGAACTACTAAGTGAAAATGAGACAGTTTCTAACTCTCCGGACAAACTCGCAAACAGCCTCTGAACAGGAATAGAGGAGGGAAGGTGGAAAAGAGAAGACTAGCTATTTATAAAATGAAAAAAAAACCACCCCAAACAACAAAACCCAACCATTTACAAAAGAAATTCTATGATAAATCTTTGAAAGCACCAGTCACAGCTCCCAAACCCCAGAGTGCAATTCCAGCTGTATTTTCTTACGGAGCAGGATGGCATTTCAGGACAAGCTTTTTTTTCTACTTAACATCATTCCTCTTCGCCTTTTAAAACAACTCTCAAGCAGGAGGAAATGACATCAAAACAATAGCAGTAATTTTCCCTCCTGTTGCAAGCCCTCTGTAAAATCAGAGCAGCTTAATGAGCAGTAAAAGCTCATTATATGAGCAATAATGAGCAGTAAAAACTCCACTGTCAGATACTTTGCAAGGACGCCATGGGCAGCCCCACGTTGCTGCCTGTCAGCCCGGGCAGCAACAAAGAAACATCATCGTTTGTAGTAACTTTCTTAAACTTTATTGCAGTGTTTCCCAGCTACAGGAAACCCCGACACCACAGCATTTCCACTAGCCCACACAGGAACAGCGGAGCATCCACGAAACTCTGTAACATACACTTGCTTCAGGCTGTTACCAGGCCTTAGGAATAACCACCCATGGGCTTTTGGAAGTGCTTTTTGGGATCTGTGGGGTGTGCGCTCTCTCGTGCCTCCCACGGAGAAAGGATTCCTGTAACAGGACACATTTCCTTGCACAGATTCCAACATACCTTCCTCCTCTTTCATCTTCTTCAGGTCGTCCTCTCCCACCAAGGAGACTCTCTTGGGGGGCTTGTCCATCTGCTGCTGCTTCACCTCAATCTCGAAATACTTCTGCCTCTCACGGAAGGACTTCTGCTCAGGGCTGTGCAGTCCCCCAGGGCTGTGCGCAGCCACCTGCGAGAGCCACAGGTCACTGCCCACCCGCCACCGAGACAAACCTGCCTCCCATATGGCCCCAGCCTTCACACCCTCCTCCTCCTCCCCAGCCTCCCCGTGATCCCGCCTCCACATCCACCGCCCGAAAGCCTGAGTCCCCTGCGAGTCCCCATCCCACTTCCAGCTCCGGCCACCAGAACTCACCTCCGGGGCACTTCTGGGATTCTCTGTGCCGCTCTGACCAGGCAATTCCTGAGAATAGAGAGAAACGGGCACATTCTAGAAAGGAAGTTTTCTACCACTGCTCCTGCCCTCCAGCCAAGTGTCACCAATGTAATACACAGCAGCAGACCTGGGCATTGACTGATGGAATAGTTCACACAACAGTCCCACAATTAACACGAGACAAAGCCACTTCAGGCTTAGCAGTTGTGAGTTAAACTGAGGGCTAAACAGAAACAGAGATGACAACTTTTAAAAGGGCAAAAAGTGAAAAACATAGGGAAACAGGTGAGGAACAGGAGCAGAGGCTTAGCTTAGGATGGAGGAGCTTGGACTTTCTTTAAATCAAAGATGCATCTATTGAAAATTTACTTCTAGGAGATAGAGACACTGTCAGGACAGAAAAATTCGTATTTACCCAAATAAATAACAGAATATTGGATGAGCAGAACTACAGGGGCCAGAAAAAGAAATGGATCCACAAAACCCATCTGTGAACTGGAAATCAGTAGGGTAAAATAAGAATTGGCAAAGGATTATTAAAACTATGAAAGTTTGTTAATTATACAAACAAAAAGGAAGCACAAGAAGAGACCAAGCAGACTACCTTCAACAGCAAAAAGGATGAGAGGCAACCAGCCCAAACTGCAGTAAAAGAAATTCTGATAAAACCTACAGAAAAATCTTCTTCGCAGCAGAGACAGTCACACATGGGAGGAGATTACCCACAGTGACCTCAGAATCTCCATTTCTGGAAATTCAGAACTCAGGTGGACTGGGCCTCAGCCGCCTCATACATCTTCAAAGCCCGCCCTGTTTTGCACAGAGGATGGAGGCAGATATCTTCCAGAGGCCTCCTCGAGCCTGAAGGAGTCCATGATTTGAATACATGGAGGGGAGAAGGAGCAGTTCCAGTTAAGGTAAACTTAATCAAAAACTAATAAAAAAATCCTCAGAACAGGTTTGGCCTGGCCCTGGACTATGGAAGTTATGAAAGTTTCTTATATCAGGACAGCATCCTGATGTCCAGTGAGAGTAATAGCGACATGAAATTCAATGAGCTTCCAGGACTCGGTGAGTTTATGGACAGGATCCTGCAGGGTGAGCGACAGGAACAGACTCCAGCTTCCATGGGGACCTCAACACCTCCCTCCTTCACCATAGCTCTTTGGAAGACGCAAACACCTGCCCCCTCTCTGTTCTCATGCTTCCCTGCAATGCCCAACCTTCTGATGTCCCACCATCCATGTGACACGCTCCCCAAACAGCATAGGTTACCTGTGTCCCAAGCAGGGGGTGTGACAAGGGCACTGCAGCGAAGGTCTTGTACGCTTGCTTGACATTGATGGGGACCTCATCAGGAGAGGGTGGTGAGGGTGGCTTTGGCTACAGGGACAAAGACAGACAGTAGAGATAACCACAGATGTTATAAAAAATCCCAAACATGGGGGAAACACACACAACTCTTTGCCTGAGGAGCCTGAAGAACAGAATATGAAAGGGACAGGTCCTGCAGCTTGGGCAGAAACACAATCAGGGTTGTGTACGTGCTATGGAACAGCACACGTTATCACAGCCCTGTTTTATGTCTCGGATGGTGGGGAGATGATGCCTCTGATGGTACAGACCCTCAGTGACCTGATCAGGATGTCACATTGATGTGACTGACCTCTTGGCCAAGGGGCCACGTTGCTGTCACAGTCCCTAAGGATTTCCACCCAGTTCAAGTAGCACATGCCCACCTGAATCAGTGATCTTTTTGGGCTGGAAAAGGAAAGCTGCACAGTTGACTCTGACCCTACTTAGGACTGAACACGCTACATTTAGTTTATTAGAAAATTAAAGATAAGCCCTGGCCTTGCCTGGCATTTCTGAGTAAAGGGAAGGGATCTTCAAGGGAAGGGATCTATCAGTCTTGTTTGGTTTTTGCAGTGGCCATTGTACTTCTGTTTATAATGTGACCAGTGTATACTTCTATCTGCTTCATGGCTGATGGCCCCAGTCTCTTAAACTACAGTGGCCATCCATCCAGAATCACAGAATCTTCTAGGTTGGAAGGGACCTTAAAGATCATCTTGTCCAACCGTCAACCCAACTGACAAAAATAGACACCCACACAACAAACAAGAAGCATCATCACTAAACCAGACCTCCCAGCACTACATCAGCCTGTCTTTTGAACACCTCCAGGGATGGTGCCTCAACCACCTCCCTGGGCAGCCCATTCCAATGGCTGATAACCCTTTCAGTAAAAAAATTTTTCCTAATATTCAGCCTGAACCTCCCCTGGTGTAACTTGAGGCCATTTCCTCTCGTCCTGTCGCCTGTGACTTGGGAGAAGAGACCGACCCCCACCTCTCTACAACTCAGGTAGTTGTAGAGAGCGATAAGGTCTCCCCTCAGCCTCCTCTTCTTCAGGCACCTACAGCACGGAGAACACCTGCCTTTGATCTCAAATCTTCCCTTCACTTACTCAGAAACACCTGATATGGTCCAAGAGGACCCTCCTATGGCTGTCACTTGTCTCTGCTGGTCTCTTCCTCACCCTTCTCTCCCATGGCCCCTTGAAGCACACTCAGGGAGGAAGAGGAGTTGGGATGACCTGCTCAGAGCATCCCAGAAATGAATGGGAGCAGGGGGGAAACGACCTCACTGCCTGCCTTCCCACTAGTAATCAAACCCCCTCAGCTCATTCGCTCCTTCAGTCCCTCTCACTGCACTAACTCAGTTTCAGGTGTTTGTGGCTTTTCTTTGTCCTGGACTGAGGCTAAAGTATAGTGTTGGATGATGTTCCCTTCTCCATGCGCTAAAGAACAGCATGTCAGGGAGATGTAAAATATGTGAATTTTGGGCAATTGCATGGGTTATATATAGCTGTTTATCTGCAAATCGGGTCCCTCATTTGGAATCACATCATACAAGCTCCAGTAAAAAGCGAAGCGCTGTACTGCAGGTATACGAGGCTTCTACCATGACAAAGACCAAAATACCTGAATCTTTCTCTCCCACCAGTGTACAGCCCCGGGATCACAAATCTTTCAAAACCAACCATTTTGCAAATCATAAAACTTACTAAGAGCAAGATGGTACTGGCTCTTGCTCCAAGACATTGATAGACAAAGGTTGTGAAAGACTTATGCCTCAACAGAAGGCAACACCTCATAAATAGGTATCTAAACCTTCAACTGCTCTGGGGATTTTGGCCACGACACAGATTCAACCACGCTAACTCCCTGAAGGGGTGTGTGAAGGCACAGAGCAGGCTGGTGAAGCTCATCCATGTTAGAAAATTGAATGGGATGCACTGATCAGCCTCAGTTAATGATCTTTAAACTCCCAAACCAGCACCAGGAGGGAGCGTCTAGCCTACCCACCGGAAAAAGTGGCACAAGAGCAACGGAGGGCAGAGAGACAGAGCTCAGGGAGAAGGAACCACAGCCACTTACAGAGTTCTGGACACTGAAGCACGGCTCGGGCTGCTGGAAGGGATTGGGGCTGTCCCCCTCCTCCGAATTGTGCGGGGCAGCATTTTGTCGCACTCGGGAAAGAGGCTGAATGACGCCTGGCTTGGTCTGGTGGTGTTGGTACCACACAGCAGGGGGGAGGCAGAGGAAAAGGACGGGAGAGAGAAGAGAAACAAGCAGTTAGGGCAGTGAGACATCTCTGCCATGCAAGTGAGTGAGGCAAATCCAGGCACCTGAGCTCAACTCCTCAGCTACCAACCAGGAGGGAGAGCTACTGAAGCCAACACCAAAGGGTGCCTCTGGGCACGTGTTCTGGACAGGCAAAGAGATTCAGACAAGTCAGGGTTGGACAGAAGGAGGGGTTACAGAGAAGGACAGGACACAAGGAGGAATCTGCCACTGCAGCTGCTGCAAAGGTGAGAGGAGAACAGCATGGGGATGTCAAAGCCTGGAGAAGGGAAGCATCATGAAGGGAAGCTGCAGCAGGAAACACCAGTCAGGAACGAGTATGGGCAAAAGCTGGGGGTGAAAATGAACTGAGACCCAGCAGGGGCTCCAATTAGAAATGCAGACATTAGAGACAGGAGCCTGAGATCTGACTGTGATGCCAGCGCTGTTGGATGCTGTCTGGAAATGAACAAAACCTCTAATACTAACGAGAGCAGAAGCAGGAATTGAGTAAACGAGCAACAACTAGAGGAGTGAAAGCTGCAAGGGCAAACAGGAATAAAAGCTGCAAAAACACTTGCATCAGGTTTTCAAATTGACACTACTTAAGGCAGTGCATTTGTAAAAACAAGATATATGAGGAATGCAGAAGACAGAGTAAGAGGTAACAGCAGGACCTGCTGGGCTGGAAGGGAGCACGCACAGGAGGAGGAGACAAGCTCTGTGCTGTAGGATGCACAGGGACACGGCGATGAGGTCTCATGGTGGATGTACTCACCGATTTACTGTCATCCTGCGATGTAATGAAGTTAATGGAAGCCTGAAAACAAAAATACAGCTGTAAATTTGGAGCCCATACAGGGAGCCTTCAGTTTACCCTGCTCCATATAAAAAGCATCACAAAACTCCCAACTCCAAGCCCACCCTGCCCTGCCGCCCCCAGGGTCCTGCAGCACTCCTCACAATACCTTCTTCTCCGTTTGAGGTGCAGGCCAGAGCCCACCCGCAGGAGCTTCTCCCAGCTCCTCTGCCATGGGGATGGCATTCCCGACTCTCTCTGCACCTCTCCGGGCACTGACCCCCCGCCCTCGCCCTCTCCACAGCAGCTCAGCCGGTCGTTTTACGCACTTTTTACACCATTTTACACCCACTGCCCTCTGCGCTTGAGCCAAAGCCATCAGCACCACAGCTTCTCTGCCAGGCAGCATTCGCAGATGCCATCTCAGCCGTGGCTAGCAGGGAATGGCCCCTCAGTGGCCACGGGTGCCGGGGGGCAAGTAGCTGGGGAGGGGGAGGCGGAGGCCGGGCGAGGAGCAGGAGCAGCAGCGCACACCGCACACCCATGGGCACTTACAAAGCGGGTCTCCCTGCCCGGCAGGTGAGCGGGCCGAGGGGTTGCAGGCCGCTGGAGAGGGGCAACGCCAGGGAGGGTCGGCAGGGCAGAGAGAAGGGGAGAGAAAACGAAGAGACCGGGTTTTCCGCCTGAGACAAGCACCTTCCCCGGTGCAGAGGCTGCTGCTGCCCGGAGCTGTGGGTGTCCCCAGGCAGGTCCTTGCCATCTGCCACGGGGACAGCCCCTCTGCCCTCCTCAGCACCGACCCACCACCAGCACCTTCTTCCTCCCCACCAGGTGCTCGTAGGACCCATGGCCAGGCAGGACCAGCACGACACCAGCCTCAGGACTGAGGATTCAACCTCCCTCAGCCAGTCTCTGAGACCTCTGAAATAAGCCTTCAAACTCTGTCTGGACCACAAGATGTCATAAACCAAAGAATTTACATTAAAAATAGATGGCGGCAGAGAGTTAGAGATGCGATGCCTCAGAACTTCTGCTGCGGAGCAACAACCTGAACGTCAAGTGTCCTGAATCCCCAGAAAATGTACAAGCCACGTGGCTAGTGACTACCCTGAGTGCCTCAGTATTGTCTGTGGGACCTGTTCCATTGTGTAGAACATTCATTGTCCAGAGAAAACTACATCTACCAGACACAGCGTCACCTGACACCCAGTCGACTGCTGCGGAAGGCTCTGATCCAAAAAGTGTGGAATCATGTAAATGTGGCAGAAAGCTCAGGTAGAGAGCGCAGGGCTGGGGATGCCGCTGGCGAGAGTGACTCTCGGCATTGCCACAGTGAGGGACCTCCAGGAACAACTGCCAGAGCCATCAGTTCATAACAGCCACAGACTGAGTCAGGAAAAAAACTTTTTGAAATGAGGCACAGACCATGTCTCAGAAATGACAACAGCGAGCAAATCTGCTGAAGAGCTTAAAAGGCTAAAATAAAGGACAAAGTCATGGAATTGGCTATAAACGCTTTAAGAAATTAATAGAATCTCTCATGGCATGCACATCTCTGAACAGAGAGATAAAAGAGAAAAACAAGAAAAAAGCTGTATAGATTATTCAAGCTCGAGCTACAGGGAACTCATGATACAAAAGCCCTGAAGTGACAAAATAGACTACAAATCACAGCAAGTGCTATGTAACAGGGAATTGGAGATATCCAGCTTAAAACTGGAAAGACAAATGCCTGCTAGTGGCCAGGACACTGGCACCAAGCCCCAGTTCCAAGACACTGATAAAAACATCAGGGACACTACGGAAGTTGCCGATGACAAATTGGAACAAGGGACCTTCCATCCAAATATAAGTTTTAAAAAAAGAAAATCACAATGAGAGTAGTCAGATATTGGAGTTGGCATCTAGAAAGATGTAGACTTTCCAACTCCAGAGCTGTTCAACATTTAACTGGCCTTGAGCAAGCTGATCAAATTGGACCTGCTCTGAGTGTGGCCTTAGACCAGACCTTCCATCCTAAATCGTTCTGTGAGCAGCTCCATGGCCACCCTTTGGGATTTGGGGCTTCTTTTTCAGCTGAGGTTCTTTAAAGACAGAGCAAATTAATACCTAGATCTTCTATTGTATAATAAGGAGTATCATCCACACCCCATTCCTTCTAGATAGAAAGAACCCAATCTCAAAAAAAATCTGTACTTGTGGTAAAAGGAAAACCTACAAACAGCCCCAAAGAAGCTTCCCATCAGTGTATGCAACTGCTCTCAGAAAATAATAAGTGAATATAAGCAGCTGGAAGAGAAAGCACTGAAATAGCATTACTATAATGAATAGTGTCTTCTTCCAATCGTCCCTGTTGGTCACTCAATTTCATAGAATCATAGAATCATAGAATTGTCTAGGTTGGAAGGGACCTTAAAGATCATCTAGTCCAACCGTCAACCTAAGTCTGATAAAAAAATAAATAAAAAATAAAAAATCCCTAAACTATTCCTGAGGACCATGTCAATCCATCTTTTGAACACCTCCAGGGATGGTGCCTCAACCGCTTCCCTGGGCAGCCTATTCCAATGCTGGATAACCCTTTCCGTGAAGAAATGTTTCCTAATATCCAGCCTGAACCTCCCCTGGCGCAACTTGAGGCCATTTCCCCTTGTCCTGTCTCCTGTGACTTGGGAGACGAGACCGACCCCCGCTTCTCTACACCCCCCTTCAGGTAGGTAGAGAGCACGATAAGGTCTCCCCTCAGCCTCCTCTTCTTCAGACTCCACAACCCCAGCTCCCTCAGCCTCTCCTCATAAGACTTACTCTCCAGACTCTCCAGACTCTCCAGATTCAAAGGACCCAAGAACCAAGGGAGATGCAGGAGAGGCCAAGGACACAACAGAGGAGGGATAGAACTATTATCACTGCGGCTCCTCTGTCATGTCTGCTGCTCCCAGCCACCTGGTCCTGCCCCTTCTCCTCATTGTTAACTGTCACCTCACCGCAAGGTGACTGGTCCAGCAAATAGAGCAGACAGCTTCTGTCCAGCTTAGAGAACCAAAAGGGCTCGGCTAAAGATGAGATGAGTGCCAGAGCTGGTAGAACCAGGCAGTTGGAAAGCAGTTGGACTCCAAAAGGAATACAACAGGCACAAAGTGACCATGGACAGAGTGCAAAGTACAACTTCCAGTTCATTCCAGCCCCCTAATATAAAACTCAATAACACACAATGATTGTGAAGGGAAAAGTTAAGAAATCCATTTAAGGATATTTAACTTCAAAAGGCTCAACTAACTTGTGAAACCCACTGCCACAGGATTAAAGATTAAGGCAAGATTCAAAAAGAGAAGATCAGAGCTGATATGAGAACTAAGATTGGCTAGTTTACAAAAGAAACCCTAAATTACAAGGAATAAAGAAACTTCCTATTTTGGAGTGGAAGTTCGCCTCGGACCAGAGTTTTAGAGTATCATTCCCTATGGGTAGGTTACATTGCTGCAGGATCCTTCATTTTCCTCCAAACAGCCGATGTGGGCAGATGGCAATGTCACAACAGAACTAGGGATCTCTCTGGAGACCAAGGAGCGTGGGTTTACAGACCCGAGATGATTCTCCAAATCCTGACTTCTCCATTTCTTCTGACATACCAATCGCCAGAATGAAACGGTCTCTGTATAAGGCACCGGTGAGGCCATTCTCAAAAGAGACAACCACCATTTGTGGTCACTTGGTACTACCCTGCTCATTACCCTACCTATTGTCACCCCTCACAGCAGTAACTTTCCACCAAGTTTATGACCAGCGAGTTACACTCCTGGATCTCCCAGACACTTTGAAAGAGCAGAGGTTCTTCTCCTAGTTCTCTAGTTGCTGGATGCTTCTCCACCTCAAAGGTACAGCTCTCAGGGATGGAAACCACTCTCGGCTTCCTCTGCCCTGGTGCCGTTCGCCTCCCTGCCCATCCCCGCATTGCCCATCCCAGGGCCAGTCTCACCTGCTGGTTACCAGGAGAATAGGGGGTTTCACGCCTGGAATTGCCCATCCCAGACTCGCCTGCAGGAGCCTGGAAGAGAGAAGACAAAGACAGACAGTTACTGTGGAGCAGCAGCTTCCACGCCTCTCCCTTGGTGGTGAGACCAAGGAGGTGATGGAGACCACCAATGTCCAGCTGAAGCTGACTGTGGGTCATCTCCTTGCAAGAGCAGAGTTAGCAACGGGCCCAGCAGCAGCTGTCACGGGGCAGGAACTTGCAAAAAAGTGCTAGAAACAGCAAGGGAAACGCCCTGCAAGGTCAACTGACTCGGGGTCAACCTTCTGCCTTCATCCCTGGGAATCCTCTCTCCACAACTTCTCCCCAGCCCTCCTCAGACTGGGCCACAGTCTTGGCAACCTGCTGGATAGAGACTATGCAAAAAAAAGCCATCCAAAGTGAAAGAGGACAAGATTCACCCCCAGCCACATCCATTGCTGTTGGCTGGCTGGTGACACCTCTATGAGTAGCCCAGAGCACAGGGGAGACGGGGTCTCACCCCTTCCAGGGGAACCCACCATCACCAGCGCTCAGGCTGGGCCACCCCAATGGCTACAAGAAAGCAGCGTCCCAGCAGTTCCCTGCAGTCTGTCCATGGGACTAAGGAGAACAATTTAAAAAGGATTTCAGATGCCTAAAGGTGGAAACAGGTCATTTGGGATTCAGCAAATGTTTAAGCAAATGGAGGGTTCGGCAATCATTAATGTCAGAGGCAGGCACTGGTGATTCAAGTTAATTAGATTCAAGTCAGCCTTGGGCAACGGTGTTTCTACTAACCAGGAGCTGTGATCCAAAGTTTATATGGGAGCACAGAAAACATCTGACCCTTCTTAGCACTGTCAGGACAGAGAATGGCAGTATCAACTGATCTGCCTCCATCCCTCCTGGGCAGAGAGACCTCTCATTCACCCTGCCCCTGGCTGCTGCTCCCCACGTCCACCCGTGCTCCAGCACACCCAGTTTAATTCACCAAGGAAGGAGCTTTCTACAATACTGTTTTTCAGGGATTTCAGCTCCCCAGCCCAGCTGACACTGACTGCTCCAGTTCTGGTGCCAGAACACATGAAAAGAACGCGCAGATGGGGAACCGATCCCTTTTGACAGCAACCCGGAAGGAGAGCAGCTCCAGCCAACTGTGACACCCACATCCAGACCGGTGACAGCTGAGCAGGCATAAAATCTGCCCCCCAGAAGGGTCAGTGCTTTGTGACCGCTACTTTTTTCATCTTCTGAACTCTAAAGCTGGATGCCTGTAATGTCGAAACCACAGTCTTTGGCTTCTAATACACTGAGATGCTACAGAGGTTCAACCAGATGCCTCGCTCTATGGTTACCTGCCTACACAGCTGTGAAAAACAAATCACCAAGGAACTGGGCTAAAAACATCTACAAGAACCACAGTTGGGTGTTGGTTTGTCTGTTTGCTTTCTCTTCTGTGTGTGTGTGCCATTCATTTTGCTTCTCTCGCTTTTCAGACACCCGAAAGGGCTGAGAAACGAAGGTAAGAGTGATGTGGTGCTGATCTGGAACACAGTATCTCTGGGTGTAGTCCTTGCTCTGCCACAGGCTTCCTGTGCGAGAGCCAGAAAGTTAAATACAAACAGGTTTCCCAAGGCAGAAAGAAAAATACTTGAAACCTGAAAGTTTAGATATACTGAAACGTGTCTCTTCAAGGAAGAGGGTGCTCCTGGGCTGCGGATGAACCATGTCAGCTGCTCTGACACGGCAGAGTCTAGAAGCTGCTGTGTTTATCCAGGCCCAGATACCCAAGTGTGACACCACCATCGTTCTTGTACCCCCCTGCCAGCTCTTACCCACAACCACGGCAGCTGCGACTGCCATGGCTCCTACTGACTCCTGCCCACCCAGAGACATGGGGACGTCACAGAATCATGGAATGGTCTGGGTTGGAAGGGACCTCTCAACCCAGCACTGACCAACCCACCACTGACCCGTGTCCCTCAGCACCACGTCTGCCCGGCTTTTCAGTCCCTCCAGGGATGGTGACTTCACCACTGCCCTGGGCAGCCTCTGCCAAGGCTTCACAGCCCTTTCCAGGAAGGAATTTTCCCTAGTCTCCATCCTAACCCTCCCCTGGCCCAACTTGGGGCCCACTCCTCTTTTCCCATAGCCTGTTCCTTGGGAGAAGAGACTGACCCCCCCTGGCTCCACCCTCCTTTCAGGGAGCTGTAGAGAGCGATGGGGTCTCCCCTCAGCCCCCTTTTCTCCAGGCTGAACCCCCCCAGCTCCCTCAGCCGCTCCTCAAAAGACTTGTGTTCTTCGAAGTCCCTAAGTCTCCTGACACCCTCTCTCCCCTCAGCAGGGGAGCTCAGCAGCAGACACACAGGGCAATAATGGGTTCATTAGTGGCTGGAAGACCATTCACTGCCCAGGCAAGGCTGGAAAAGGACATGTGTTAGGTGGGACCGGCCCCACATGGGCCTCGTGCTGCCCGGTACATGCGCAGGGGTGGCCTGGAGGGGGTGACCACACACAGCATGCCATGGGACCGCTTGCCTTGGAGTAAAGGTTGGTCTTCAGCACTCCCCCCCTGCCATAGCCCAGGGGAGGCCCCCCCAGGCAGGCCCGGCCGGCCGCCTTCCCCCTGCGGTTGGCCACCACAAAGGGGTTCTCACTGAAGAGGATGGGCTGGGAGTCCACCATGCACTCTTGCTCTGGCGTCTTTGGCGGCTGGTCCTGGGACAAGGGGCCACCTGTGGGAGGCTGCTGGTCAGGCCGGGGCGTTTCTGCCCCGCTGGTGCAGTGGTCGGGTGTTGCGGAGTCCCGGGGAGGTCTGGCCACGCTTCCGATGGTGGGGCCAGCAGCCGTGTCAGGGCATGAATCCCGGCTGTCCCGTGCCACCGGCAGAGACAGCAGAGCACAGTCGCCCTCCATTCTGGAGCTGGGCTTATTATACTGAACGAGCTGAGAGGGAAACAAAAGGGTCAGAAAGAAATGAGGAGAAAAGAGTAGAGGAGAGGAGAGGAGGAAGAACACACAGAGCTGATGCTGAAGGACAGGAGAGAGAAGAACTCGAGCACTAATGCCCACATGACCACCCATTCCCTCTCTCCTACTGTACCACGAGTCTGGTGATGATCCCAAATGCCACTTCCAACAGAGGACCTTGCAATACAGACACCCGGTAGCTGACAGGCACGAGCACGCTCCCTGCACAATTCCAGCTCTCCTCTCCATTCCAGCCTGCACCTCAGCACTCACCAGGAATGCTGCTGCTCTCCAGCAAACCCCACACAACCACGGGTCCTCCCCCATCTCACTGCAGCACACGGAATCACAGGATGGTTTGGGTGGGAAGGGACCTTTAAAGCTCCCCTCAGTGCCACCCCCTGCCCTGGGCAGGGACACCTCCCACCAGACCAGGTTGCTCCAAGCCCCCTCCAACCTGCCCTTGAACCCCTCCAGGGATGGGGCAGCCACAGCTTCTCGGGGCAACCTGCGTCAGGGTTTCCCCACTCTTGGGGTGAAGAATTTCTCCCCAAGATCTCACCTAAATCTCCCCCTTTTCAGTTTAAAATCCTTGCCCCTTGCCCTGTGGCTCCCCTCCCTGATCAAGAGTCCCTCCCCAGCTTTCCTGGAGCCCCTTGAGGGACTGGAAGGAGCTCCAAGGTCTCCCCGGAGACTTCTTTTCTCCAGGCTGAAGCCCCCAACTCTCTCAGCCTGTCCCCACAGCAGAGGGGCTCCAGCCCTCATCCTCAACCTCACTCCACCACCATCATGGCCCAAAACCAACTGTCCCACCCCATGACACTTCCCAGCAGTTTCAGCCATATCACCTTTTGCTCCACTGCATTCCATACAGTTACTACCATATCTACTCCCTGCAGCTCCACCACCCCTGCACAGGCAAACATGCTTTTATGGCCCCACTCATCCAAATACACACCAATAAATAAAAGAGAGCTAAATAACAGCTAACAAAGCTCAGACCCCTCCAAAAGCAGGACTGAAACCGAGCTCCAGTTCTATCGAGGCTCAACTGCACCTGTCCAAGACAAAGCACTGACCTTTCCTCTTCTAATGCTATAAAAGAGAGTCTGTTACCCCAGCCAAAGCCTTCTCTCAGGGAAGCAGAGATAACCAGAGAGCAACGATCAGATCTCCTTCTCTCCCAGTCCCTGCCTGGCAGCAGAAAGACCTCTCCTGCTCAGAGCACATTCTCCAGCCCCTGTGTCATGGCAGCATCCACAAAAATAGCTCTGTGGGGCCGGGGACTACGATGGCAGCTGAGAGGCTCAGGAATTCCTGAGGCCCTCCCCTAACCCTCCAGCCCCAAACCCACCTACAGCAGTGGTGGGCAGAGCCCTGGCTCCTATCGTATGTCTTCAGACAGTGAAGCCTGTGCTGCCCTTGGAAATTCTGCTATTGTAGCTACGTGAGTTTCCAATTGTAAAGAAAATCCTCCCAAAACCACCCCAAATTCCAACCTCCTTTTCCCAGAGGGTGATAAACCACAGCAGCAAGAGCTCTAGTGTGTGTGAAGTTATGCCCAGCAAAAAGTACTTCCAGGAATATTATTTGCTCCCTGGGGATGCTGTAACAAAAGCCCTGCCAGAATCACCACTGCAAAGTGGGTCTGTGGGTCCTGCAGCCAGGCTCCTCCGATGGCTCCAGCGCTTTCCCGAGCCAAGAAGAACACAAACCCCGACCGGCCTGGGATCCAGGTGAACACCCCCCCCAGCAAAAGGCCTGCTTTGGGAAAAAGTGAACAATGCTTTGGGGGCACTGTGGAGATGGGCACCTCACCAAGGCTGCATGGGGAGCCTCAACGCCTGCTCTGTTCATGGACACGACTGGAGCCGAGCTGCACCTACCCCTCGCTTTCATCTCTGGCGCTTCTGCAGGATGCCTCGCTCCCTCTGCTATTTTTATCAGAGAAGCAACAATTTCTATTTTGGGTGAGCCAGGATTCTGGCAATGCAGTGTGCTCCTCCCAGCTGTGCCTCTGTCACTCCCCGTCCCACAGAGGGGACAATCCTGTTTCACCCTGCGCCCTCTGCGGTGGATACAGAAGAAATGACCTGTGGCTCTGATCCACCACTTTGCCCCAGCCACTGAAACAAATCCAATTTTAAATCGAATGGACAAGTACAGAGAAAGAACCAATGGTTAGAAATTGAAGAGAAATAGATTCAGACTAGAAAGTAGAGATTGTTAATTAACTAACCACGGTGAGATGCCGTGCGATATAAAGTCTTCTCCATTTCTTAGAGCCCAGAGAACAAACCTAGACTGTGACTGGTTTGCTGTGGCGAGATGCAGTCACTCGTGGGTATGGTTTCCAAGCCTGTACTATGCAAAAGACAGAGACCATAATGGCTCTTTAATTACTGCGATGGCAGCCCCCAGACATAGACGTGTGCTGGTCTCTGCAGACACCAGTTACCGAGAAGGTGGCACAGCCACAGGGCATCACCGAGGTGAGCTCTCTCACCCAGCTTTCCACTGGAATTTTTTCATTTGGGGTTTTAAAGTATACAAACCAAACAGGCCTGCATCTCAGCAAGCCTTTGTTCAATCTTGCTCACAACAGGACCAATAGGCAGCAACAGAGACTAATCTGAGACAGCCAGCCATCTGCCCCTTTCTTTGGGGGCAACTGTTGGGCGAGCCTCATAACAAATTTCACCCGCAACCTACAGCAGTCACAACAGAGCTCTGCACCCACAACAGTGGGAAGAACAGCAGGCCCCACGACCCCCTTCCTACTATACAGGATGAAAAGATATGTAGACACTGCTTAGAGGAGAAAGTACGTGGTGGAAATGTTGGTCTAGAGACAGGAAGAAAGAAGAAAATACTGTGGGAACTGGGCAATAGTGATTTCAATCCAGTGGGACCAACTGGAGATGGACTACCTGTTACCCAAACTATGCTTTTCTGCCGGCCAGACCCATCCCTGTCTGAGTCTTCCCGGCGGTCACCCCCGCAGCAAGGAATGGCCTCTGAAGGAACACCAGAATTTTCCTGCCCCTGCAGCCCGTTCCCCCCCTACCCACCATCCAGGCAGACAGATTTTTTCAAAGACAGCAAAGACAGGGCTGGGCAAACGACAGCTGGAAAAAAGATAAACCATGGGCAACAATTGGCCCTTCCCCTGCAAGGGGACATTTATAGATGCCGCCCATATGCCCCGGCATTCCAGTGTGTCCGCCCCTACGTTCCAGCGCTGGCATTCCGGGGCTGACACAGCACCAGTTCCCAAATGCTGCTCCCTCTGGGTGACACAAGGGCTGCCCAGCAGAGAGGCAGCTGCTCGCATGGGGCTGGCTCTCCCCTTCTCCCCAGCTGCTGAGTTACACCAAGAGATGCTAAAAATACATTAAACCTTCTCCTGATAATGCTTTTCTGTGTGAAGAGCCAGGAGAGAAAACACAAGAGCTGGGGAGTCTGGGGGGAAAAACGTGAGGCAGAGCAGGGCTGCAACCAGTGTGGGAGCAGAAGAGCAAGATAGCCTGAAGTCAAGGAGAGGAGAGAGGAACAGGGGAGGAACCTGTCTGGGTGGAACGAGATGGAGACAGTACAGGTGAAAGAGATGATCCTGGAATGATGGAATGGGAATGGTGAATCTGATGGTGACAGCAAAGGGTGGTCTCACTGCCAGAGGAGGAATCATAGAGTGGTCCAGGCCGGAAGGGACCTCCAAAGGTCATCTAGTCCGAGCCTCTCCTTGAATATCTCCAGGGAAGGGGCCTCAACCACCTCCCTGGGCAACCTGTTCCAGTGCTCCACCACCCTCACAGTAAAGAATTTTCTCCTAATCTCCAGTCTAAATCTCGTCCTGTCACTACAGGCCTTTGTAAACAGGTTCTCCCCAGCCTTCCTGTAGGCCCCCTTCAGGTATTGTAAGGCTGCTATTAGGCTCTTCTCCAGGCTGAACAACCCCAGCTCCCTCAGCCTGTCCTCATAGCAGAGGTGCTCCAACCCCCTGATCATCCTCGTGGCCCTCCTCTGGACCTGCTCCATCAGGTCCATGTCTTTCCTATACTGAGGACTCCAGACCTGCACACAATAGTCCAGGTGAGGTCTCACCAGAGCAGAGTAAAGCAGAAGAATCACCTCTCTGGACCTGCTGGCAATGCATCTTTTGATGCAGCCCAGGATGTGATTGACCTTCTGGGCTGCAAGTGCACACTGCCTGCTCATGTCCAGCTTCTCATCCACCAGCACCCCCAAGTCCCTTTCCTCAGGGATGCTTTCTAATATCTCACCCCCTAGTCTGTACTGATGGTGAGAATTGTTCCAGCCTAGGTGCAGAACCTTGCACTTGTTCGTGTTGAACCTCATGAGGTTCACCTGGGCCCACCTCTCCAGCCTGTCTAGATCCTTCTGGATGATATCCCATCCCTCTGGTGTATCGACACCACCACACAGCTTGGTGTCATCTGCAAACTTGCTGACGGTGCAATTAATCCCTCTGTCTATATCACTGATAAAAATGTTAAACAGTATCGGTCCCAGTACAGACCCTTGAGGGACACCACTTGTCACTGCTCTCCATCTGGACTTCAAGCCATTGAGTACTACCCTCTGGATGCGACCATCCAGCCAGGAAAGGAACAGAGGTGAAGGCTGAGGATATGTGTGATGGAGCAGCAGAAACCCAGTGCGACAGGGATGAGGCAGGGAAGGTAAACCATGAACAGAAGAAGCAAAGATGGAGAGGTGAGGTGAGAATTTAAACAACACAGGAGAGAGAGGTGACTTTGTAATCTGGAAGTTTGTGAAATCTGGATTTTCTCTTGGGTGAGGTGCCATGTATCTTGTATCTGCAATTGGAATGCAGGTCAGGGCAGGGGTCTCCAAGGCTGTGTCAGGGCTAAGTCACGATATGCAATCGCTGCAACTGACTTTTGCAGTCTTAGATGGATTTTGATTCATTTTTAGCACTTTTGGCATTAGCACCCTGCATGCCCCTCCCTTTCCAGGCTCTGGGCAACCTGGTCTAGTTGGGGGTATCCCTGCTGACTGCGGGGAGGTCGGACTAGATGACCTTTGGAGGTCCCTTCCGGCCTGGACCATTCTATGATTCTAAACATGGTCCCACAATGAATTCACAGCTGAACTGTGCACACAACACTGTCACCGAAGTCTTGGGAAGAACTTCCCCTCCCTCCTCTGCAGCTTCCAGTAGTTGCCTCCTTCCACAATAAATCCCTGCGTTCTCCCACCCTCCTCTCCTGCTGGGCTTATTCAAGACACTTTCCTCCTTTCTGTCCTGTTCCAGGCACTTCCTTTTCCGTCTTGGCAATTACACAATTTCCCAATTGGAAAGCGCCCTGGCTCTCTGCTCTCCTCATTTTCTTATCCCAATATTTCTTTGTGGCAACCCCCCATTTCAGACAGTGTCAAAGTCAACCACAGCTCCGTGTCCCCATTTTCCTCTGCAGAGAGCACCACCACAGCATGGTTTGGGTTGGAAGGGCCCTTAAAGATCATTTAGTTCCAACCTAAGATCATCTAAAGATCATCTAGTTCCTCGAACCTGTTCCAACAGGTTCATGTCCTTCCTGTGCTGAGGACTCCAGAGCTGGACACAGCGCTCCAGGTGGGCTCTCCCCAGAGCAGAGGGACAGAAGCCCTCCTCACCCTGCTGGCCACCCTTCTTTTGATGCACCCCTCACACCAGGGTGCAAGGAGAGGGATAAGAGCGCAACCATGGCTCCCTCCATGCAGGGACCCACATCTCAGCAGCCCCTCACTTACGGTGCGGTTGACTCTCTGGAGACCACTGCTCGGCAGCGCAGCCAGGGTCCGATAGTCCAGTCTCAAGGGCTCGCTGGTGACGTTCTGGAGAGGGGGGCAAGGGAGAGAGCAAGAAAACACAAACACCAGCAAGAGATCAGGCCACAAGTCAACTAACTCAACCAGGAAGAACAACTGAAAAAAGGAAACCACCCCGAGTAGTAACCAAGGCCTTGTCTCCAAACTCTGCAGAAAGTTCCCATTGCCTGGAAACGAATTATAGAATCACAGGATGGTTTGGGTGGGAAGGGACCTTTAAAGCCCCCCCAGTGCCACCCCCTGCCCTGGGCAGGGACACCTTCCACCAGACCAGGTTGCTCCAAGCCCCCTCCAACCTGGCCTTGAACCCCTCCAGGGATGGGGCAGCCACAGCTCCTCTGGGCAACCTGGGCCAGGCTCTCACCACCCTCAGGGGGAAGAATTTCCTCCCAATTATCTCACCTCAATCTCCCCTCTTTCAGTGTCAAACCCTTCCCTCCTGTCCTACGGCTCCCCTCCCTGATCAAGAGTCCCTCCCCAGCTTTCCTGGAGCCCCTTGAGGGACTGGAAGCGGCTCTAAGGACTCCCCAGAGCCTTCTCCAGGCTGAACCCCCCAACAATCTCAGCCTGTCCCCACAGCAGAGGCATTCCAGCCCTCTCAGCATCTCCAGGGCCCTATGAGCCCCCTGGAATTGTTCCAAACACAACCATGGAGACGCGTGGCAAAGGCCAGGCTTGAGAAACCCCGCAGAGACCACGTCACCCCGGGCCTTTGGTCACCACATAGTCACACCCCTACTGTTCCTCCTGTCCCCATGTGCACACATCCACCCCCTCACGGCGTAGTGGAGAACACAACATACATACCTGTTTTCTACCAAAGAGCACCCAGAAAGGCTTCCTGGCTGGATTTGGAGACATCGGAGAGTACAAATGTACAACTCCTCTACAGTATCTTTTCTCAACCCCAACTCACTCTTTTTGTATGATTTCATTTGCTTTCACTCCCTGTTCACATCTGTCTGCCTGTCTCATTCCAGCCATTGCTTTCCACCATCCCTTCCTCAACCTCATCGCAGATTTCTCCATTTCTGGTATCTTCTCTTATATCCAAAAGTAAAGTCTTTGGGGCAGGGGGGAGTGAGTGGAGAAGTTATGGGGAATGAGTGCTTTTAGAGATTTCCGTGGCCTTTGAGTCCAGTTGTGGCCCTTTTTCTGCAGCTCTGCACCCCCCACCTTGGTCCTCACCTCCGCCTCCTCCTCAAGCTGCCGGGTGGCTGCCTCCCGCTCCCTACGCATCCGCTCCTTCCCGGGACAGGGCAGAACCGAAGCAGTGTCCCAGCAGCACGGGCAGAGAGAGATGGAGAGAGGTCAGCGCCATGCCGGGGAGGGAGACGGCGGGGGGACAACAGAGGGGACAGAGGGGCAGGAACGGCGCCGGCGCCACTGGGAGAAACCCAGTGTCTGTGGGGAAAAGGAGCTGGGATTCTGCAGGAGCTCTGCGAAGCAGAGGGGATGGACGCCCCAAACAACACAGGCTGGGTTGTCCCCAGACTAGGGGGAGAGAGAGGATGTCTCTATCCTTAGCAGGGTCAGGCCTAGGGAAAAGCCACGGGAGATAAAGCCCTCCCTGAGGGGAAGGAGAAGATCACGGATTGTGAGAGGAGACACCTTGACAGAGCACAGACAGGAGAGGCTGGAAGGGAATACGGAAACGAATCTACAGAGCACAGGCCTGGCAGTCACTAGGGAAAAAGACCTAAAAAAATCACATGCTTGTTAACAGCATCGCAGCCAAAATGCTATATATTTATAGAGACAGAGACTGTAAAAGCATGAAGCAGGGCTTCAAGCCCCTGTCAGCTCTCAGTCATCCAAGCGCAGCACAGGAATATTATGGGAGTGACCAGTGACTCATCCCACAGGCCCCAACTACAGGCTTTGCTTCCAACACAAAACCAGTAGGAACACCCTTTGCTGTAACAGCAACGCTACAAAACCAGGTTTTCTGAAACCACAACAAACCACTCTCGGTTTCTTCCTAGGAAACACACCGGGTGTTTTACAGGAAAAACCTAAATCTGATCTAAAATGGCTCTGCTCTGAGCAGAGAGGTCCCTTCCTACCCAAATCATTCACGGAATCACAGAATCCTTTGAGTTGAAGGGACCTTTAAAGGCCACCAAGTCCAACCCCCAGTAACGAGCTGGGACATCTTCAACCAAACCAGGCTGAAGATTATTCCATCAATTCTTCTGGAAGAACTCCATTCTCAGCACAGATCGCAAACACCACCACACCACCTTGCAGAAGTCCCTTGTCTTATTCCTGCTCATGCCGACACCAATCTAAGGCTGTAGGCTTAAAGCAAAGCTCCCAAAGGGAGTCTGCAACACCCCGAGCCCCTTTTGTCCCCCTGCTCCAGTCTCTCATAAACCCACACCTTGCACAGCCCATTGCAGTTGGTGCAGATGGATGAGACAGACATTTTCCTGTCCATGGCTCTATCCTTTCACACTGTCTAGTCAAAACCTTGACCCTTTCTTCCAAAAATAGTAAAATCTCAAGTGTTAACAGAATCACAAAGATCACCTCCATCCAGAATTGCCAACATAACTCCACACTTGTTGGGAGCAAATGTAAAGAGGTGATTGCAAGTACAGAGAGAACCTGGAGAAACATCAGGTGTATCTAAATGGGAAACCTGAAGAAAGGCTGCAAAATGTCCACACTTATCCACCAGGAAAGCGGGTTCCTTATTGACAATACTGAGGAATTCAACTTTCCTTCATCTTCCAAAAGAATCTGACTGCATAAATTACAGTTGTAAGAGGGATAACTAGAAAACCCAAGTCCTTGAGGGGCTTGACTCTGCTCATCTGTGCCTGTGAAAGGCTGGAATAGGAGGTAGAAATATAAAAATCTCGAGTCAGAAAAATGATCACGTAAAGTGAGGAGCACAAACTTGTGACTGATTAACATTTGTGATTGATTAAGACTTGTGATTGATTAATGGTGCCACTGCTTCAGTTCAGGACAGCTTTGAGCTGTGTGTTCTCATCTCTGCCCATGAAAGCTCTGTCAGGTGATGGAGTGCTGTACAGGGAAAACTGATTAAATGTGGGACTTCCAAGCAAAAAGGCTACTTTTCTCTAAGTTGCCACTTGTCCAGAAAGTGCCAGGAGGTAACCAAGATGCACTCTGTAAATACCAGCAGAGCAACACCACAGGGGTACAGAGGGAGGCACGGCAAAGCCAGAGAGCAGCTGGAACCCGAGCGGTGCACCAGGAGGAGAAGGCCCAACCCCCCCGTGGCATGAACAACCGGGCAGAGACCATCCATGGCGTTTCCCTTAGGGCTCACGGTCTGAGCAGAACCACTGCTGAGAACAGATTTTGCTACACAAAAAATCTCTCACCACTTTCTCCATTTCTTCTCTCTCCCACTGAGTTGCTTCTCTCACCATTTCCATCTCCTAGGAGAGACCAAAGTTAGAGCCACCTCACCCAGTGCTCTCTCCCGCCTGCGACCTCGGGACCATCTCACAGTCCCGTCTGAACCATTCCTGAGGGGGCCTCAGGCGTCCCGCCCTAGCCATTCCCGAGGAAGGCACTGGGACCTGCTGAGCCCATCAAAAGGAAGTCCATGACCCATGGTGTTGCAGATTCCACGCACCACGGGACACTAGGGATTTTTCAGAAACCTTTTCCGCTCTGTAACATTCTTCCAGTTGCAGCCAGAATACCCACCTTCTGCAGGATCTCCAGTTCCTCAGGGCTTAAATCCCGGTCGATGGAAGAGATACTTTCCAGGCTATTCTTGCGTCCGATACCAGCAGCGAAAGGGTTTGCAATAATTCCCGGGGACATCTACAAAGCAAAAAGGCAATGAAACATGGTGGAAGCCCACAGTGTGCCACACAAAAAATACCCATATCCTGGGCTCCCAGATCCAGAGAACCAAGATGATCCCAGCCAAGTCTTTGACAACTTGAAACCTTATTTCAGCTGTTGATTACTCAAGGAACTCGATGTCTAAGAAAGACGAATTTAAATGGAGACAGTTTCAGAGAGAGGATAAGGTGACTGGGGGTTGGGTACATGTTCTGGCGGAGAACAGAAAAGTTTACTTGCTAACCCTGGAAAAAGGAAAGCTGAGAAGGCACAGGACTGCTATGGGTTAAGGGTTTCCCTGCAGGGAAAGGTGAACACCAATAAACAGACAGACAATTTAATTTAAATACAACATTGGCACAAGAAAAAAAAAAATAGGCGTAAATAGCCTGGAGAAACTTGGCTTGCAAACTGCATTACAAACCAGTGCAGCGACACTGTGGAACAGTTCTGTTACCAGCAGAGACAGTCTCTAGATATCTGCGCATCTATGAACTGGCAACCACCTCCAGTTCACGTAGCAGCGGACCAGGCTTTGAAATCTGGGACCTCAAATGAAAAATCTACAGCACACGGTCGGAAAAATCTTCTATAAGGACAGAGGTGGGATCGTTGTGGCGCTGGTCACCACGACGGCACCCCGAGCTTCAGCTCTCACCTCGATGGCAGCTGCAGCCTTGGGGTCGAAGCCGTCACACACCAGCACCAGGAGCGCGTCGCCCACCCCGCGCAGCATCTGCACCGCTTCCGTGTGCGTCATCCCCAGCAGGCTCTGGTGGTTCACCTCTAGGATCCGCATCCCCACCTTCAGGCGGCCGTCCCGGGCTGCCGCCCCCGAGGAGCTCACCTGGAACAATGGGGGATCGAGGGGTCACCTCAGAAGGCGAGAGGAGATCAGGGAGCTCTGGGACCATCGGGAAGAAGGAACGAGAGAGGACAACACACAAAGGACACAGGGAAAGCGCCGGGAAGTACCTAAATATAGTTACGGAGAGGGCAGAAAAGGAAAAACATCTACAGTTTGGCAGAGAAAAGGGGTGTGGAAGAGATCTCTTATGGCACGTAAAAAGATTCTGTATCTGAAATGTGTTGTCCCAAGGAAAGAAACTGCTTTTGTTTCGTCAATGAGGCAGGTGAGAAAGGAAGCTCTCGCGTCTGTGATTTATCTCCACAGAAAGGAAAGCATAATAATTGTTTATTGGGAGAGAGACAGAAAATGTAAGAGTAGGGATAATTTTTGTGGATGAAGATAGATGAGTCAGAAAGACTTTCACTGTCTCTGTGGTAGAGACCAGTGTAACGAATGACATGTGTCTGTCATTTTCCATCCTCTCTTTCAGGGAAATAACATGTAATTTATTTTTTTTTTTTCCTCAAGAAGTCACAAGAACTTATTCTTGCCTCACGTACGCAAGCTGCGACCGGGGGAAGCGGCCACATGCAGCGTATGGGTCAGGCACATAAAAGCCAGAGTCTGTAACCCAGTGTGTTTGAGGAGAGGACAGAAGCACATGCTTTGCCACCAAAGGCAGTCAAGGCAAGCAGTTTTATTCATTTTTTCTCCCTTTGGAACAGGGAAAAGAGACTGCAGGACTTGCTGTGGGTACAAAGTGGATGAGAAGAGAAAGAAAAGGGGACATTGGGAAAAGGAAATCCCCAAAACCTCCCCAAACACATGCAAACATGAGGCTCGGGAGGAATTTGCAAGCTGAGGAAGTGAGAAAAAAACCTGATCAATGGCAAGAGGCGAAGCTACTACCAGGAACCGACAAAAATAGAGGATACAACTCAAAGTGCCTGAAGAAAAGGAACAGAACCACCAACAGGGCATTAGTTTTTCTAATGGCACACCAAAAAGCCTGAACAAGATGGGGTGTGCATACAGTCAGGCCAGACCCAATGGAGACCTTGGGACATTTGGTGTATGGACAGATCTCTCTAGGAACGCCAGGACAGACAGATGGCTGCCATTCAAGGTCTCAAAGCCAACAACCAACACAAATGAGCTTTACAAAGGCAATTACGGCCAGCGCTACACAGAGGCTCCCCAGAAAGGGCATGTCAGTGTTGAGGACCTCAAACAAAGCCTGTGGATCCACGACGAGAGAATGCAGAGGACAAGGGCACACAGAGCTGGACATGCAGGAGTGGCTGTCAGGGTAGGATGGAGGCACACTGGAGGAAGGAAAGACAGGCAGAAATACTGTACACCACATATTACTGGAATCAGAGAAGCAAAAAAACCCCAAAAAACCAAAGGCATGCATGTTTTGGAGCTGTTTTGCAGAAAACAACAACAGACATATCTTTAATAAAGTACTGTAAAAACAGGAGAAAAAACGCTGCATGCATTTTTTATATTTTTTAGGATGGGGAGGAGGGAGAGCAGCTGTGCATGGCTACAGTCAGTTCTTCAGGGCTGTGAAGGGGTGTGAGTGTGAGTGCGTGTGCATGCACTAACACAGGCACGTGCAGCAGAATGGAGAAAGAGGGAGTACTCACAATTTCTGTTCCAGGGAGAGCAAGTGCATATGTGTGACAGTAGAACACCCAGAAATAATGGGAGGAGGTGAGGTTAATGTAGAACAATGTCCTCGATGTCATCTGTATTACTGATATGTCACTGTGGGACACTGAGCTATCCCCACTGAGACTGATCATGAATTTCACATTGTAGATATAATTCATACTTCTCATGGTACTCAACTTTTAACACTTCATCAAGAAGGTTTCAGAAAGGAAGAACCAGATTACAACTTTTTTAAACAATGACAATTAAGGGACTGATGAAAATGCAAATTAAGAAAAACTAAGGAGAAAAAAAGCAGTAATTGGACATCCAAAGAGGAAGAAGAGGAAGCAGCACTACTTTGTCTCTGTTACTGGAAATACACAGCCAGAACAAGAGAAGCCGGAAAAACTCTCTGCTTAGGACAGAGAAGAGAGATCAAGCTGAAGTTATGCAGCTGAAGGGAGGGCAGAGAAGTTCAGAGCTTCAGTTCTCCACAGGCTAAAACAACTACTATTAAAAAGAAAAGAGATGGAGAGGAGAATCTAACCCTGCCCTGGGGCTGAAGTGCAAGCCTTCCAAACCCCTTAAACACTGGAACACTGAAGGAGATAAAAAGAAAACCTAATCATTAAAAATAACTGTAGATTACGATAATCTTAGGTTTTCTTTTACTGCTGTTACAAATACTGCAGTTGAACATGCAACTATTACTTTGACAAAGTGAATACAGGTTTTTAACTTTAAAACTCCAATAAAGAAGTTATATCCAAGTGATAACAAATACTGAGTATTCCCTTTCTTTGAAAGCAGCCGATTGTCAGAAAGGGTTAACTGGCAATTGTGGAGCGTCCACCGTCTCCCAAGGATTATTCAGACCTCTACAGCCAGGGCAGAGTCTGTACCCCACCCCAGCAGCAAAAGAGGGCACCAGTGACACTGATGTGAGCACCCAGAGTCGCTCTCTGGTCAGCAGCATGACCAGAAATCACACCCCTTGTCACTGAACTCAGTTGGCAGCAAGAAAGAAGAGGTGGTTTCTTGGTAAGGGGCAGGAGCAGCACAAGCTTATACACAGCGTATTGTTGGAAAGAAAATACGAGTTACTTCTTGGGGAGAAGTGACATGAGAAATAAGCACGCACACATTTACAAAGGAAAAGGGAACAAAATTACACACAGGGTGTGTGGCACAGGAGGGAAGGTGAGCAATCCATAACGCTTTTAAGCAAAGCGTGGGCAGGAAGGCCACAAGCACTTGGGGGAAGCAATAGGAATGGAGGGGAAAAGGGGAAAAGAAGATGTATGGGTTCATGCTATAGAAAAAGAAAAATCAAGAGAAGAAACCAAGGGAAAATAAAAGCAAAGAGAGGAAATGAAAGAAGAAATTCTGTAGCTATCAGAGAGGAGGAAACACAAAAGGAAAGAAATGCACCTCCTTCAGTGAACGGAGAATGCTCCAGGAGGACGGATGTCCCCAGTGGGGAGTGCAGGGACAAATCCCACATGGAACAAATCCCACGGGGATCACCCCTTTCCTGGCAGTCCCTGCATGCAGCCAGACTGCAGGGTCACTGTTCAGGTACCTTAGAGATGAAGATGCCCTCGTCAGTGGGATCAAACGGATTTCCAGCATGGCCTTTCGCTCCACCCCGGATGCTGATGCCCAGCTTTTCTCCTGGAGCCTTCTCAATGCATATTTCCTGCAAACACAGAAAAGGTCTCCCTGTTTCTGGGTCAAGTTCAGACTGGAATTGTTGAGGAAACACTCCTAGTGGTTGGTCATATTCTAAATATCCTGAAAAGGGCCCATATTAGACCCTTCACTCCTTTGGCACAGTTTATCCCTTTGGAAGAGGCCCTGCCCTTTTCTGGATTTCTGTCTTCTGTTCGGGTCTGATCTTTGTGGAATCTGGTAATTCTCTTGTCACAGTGTCACTGTGGGCACAGCCAGAGACCCTCCACAGCCCCCATGGAGCTATGTCCTTACAAGGGACTGGATTCTGGCAGGTGAGAAGGAAATTCCAGCCTGCAGTTTGGTTGTGCCCTAGTCACAGACCTCCAACTTGATAAGAAATTGCCTTCAAGAGTGATCCTTCTAATGAAGAGTGTAATTCCCCCCAGTTCTCTTTCTCAGCACCTACCTGCATACCAGGTGGTGGTGGGTCTCGCCTCACTAACATGGTCAGCTCCTGGGTGTTGGAGAGCAGGGCGTTCACCGCTTCCTGGTGGGTAGCGTGGCGCAGGTCAATGCTATTGACTTCCAGGATCCTGTCCCCTACTCGCAGCCCACTGCGGGATGCCAGCCCACGGGGAATGACCTGCAAAGAATCATTAATATTACAACTAGAGAAGGAAAGCCCATCTCTCCTTGGAGAGAGACCAGTTGTGATCCCAGGCCATCCTCTAACACCCTCTGAGGCCAGTTTTGACTTCTCTCTCTGCAACCAAAGCTCCCCAAGAGGTAACGCATCTGTCAGAGCTGGCAAAGAACGAAGTAAGATTTGCTTTCAAGTGTTGTTCAATGTGCTCTTATATTCTTTCACTAAAACAAGGAGGGGACGGAGCAGCACCTTGCAAGGAGAAATGAAGGCCGCAACTCCTGAGTTTGCAGAGAAAGCTGAGGAAGGAGAATTTACACCACTGAAGTAAAAAAGGTTTACAACTCTGGCGGTGGTAAATCAGCTGAAAGCAGGACTTGTGTTGACCAAACTGGCAATACAAGAATGGGGGAGCACTTGGCGTACGTGGTGGGAGGTTGGTTCAGAGCAGATCAGCGAGTGCTGCTCCAGGTGACAGGTAACAATGTCCTGGGCCTTACAGCCATGGTGTCAGAGGAGACAGACTCAGCATTTCCCAGGGACAAGAGACACATGGATGCAGAAATGGCTGGGCAAGGATGTCCTCTCCAACATCCCTAAATCCAACAAGTGTGGATGCATGGGACCGCGGAGGGGATTAGCTGCAGCAAGTGCTGGCCTGTGTGCTCTCTAAACATTTCTGAAATGCCTGCACCTTCCCAGGACTCATTAAAAGCTAACATAAGCTCAGCAATTTCAAAAGCTAACTCTCCCCAAACAGCTCAGTGTGAATTGCAGAGGTTTGCAGGCTGTTACAGACCATTTAGATTCCCACAACAGCAGCAGTGTGTCTAGTATGAGCTCACTCTTTAGAAATGCACACGTCCCTCCCCCATCCCATTTTTTAAAAATCTATACTGTACTCCTCAGACTCTTGCATCAAAATCCTTCATCTTAACCCCAACAATTAAACAGCTGAGTGATGCCCACCGCTGGGCTGCTCACACTGGACTCTACCTTCGAAATGAAGACACCTGGTTCATGAATCCCAAACGGATGGCTTGAGTGGTCACTGCCCCCTACGATGCTGAGCCCCAGGGGACCACCTGCTTTCACCAGGTGAATTTCCTGGAGGGAACAAGGAGCAGAGTCAAAGCGGATAACATATGTCACATAAGGACCACAGACACTGAAAAATGGAGCCAGGGATGTTTTGTGTGAGCACACACAAGGTGAGCACCACAGGACAAGGTGGTTCCCCATTATTTCCCATTGCCTCAGTAGCACAGAAGACCAGTCTTCATCAGACCACCCATTTTCCAATGAAAAATACCCAAGATGACCCACTCCCATATTCCAAGAGACCGACTCACCTCAATGGGGTACTGATCCTCCAGGCCTTTGGAGAGATGGTTCCTCTGTGGTGCGGGCGTCTCCTCGGGCGGGCTCTCCCCATGGCTGGGGGGTGGCGGTGGGGAGTGCATGCGTGCCCGTGGCCCCCCGGGCCAGTCTCCCTCGCCGGGCTGCTCCGCACCCTCTCTCTCTACCAGCAGCACGATGGTGGGGGAGGACGCGGTAAGCAGCGCTACTGCCTGATCATGCCTGGCTTCTGTCATGTCTACCCCATTGATCTAGAATGACCCGCAAACTCAGCGTCAGAGCGTTGCCCCAGCACAGCCAGTCGTTCCAAGCACTCGGCCGAGCACCCCAAGGGACCCTGTTCTGCTGGAACACCACTGCCCCTTCTCAAAAGCCTGTTCCCCAAAGCACTTTTTCACTTACCCTACTCCTTCCTAGCTGGCAAAGGGACACAGGCACCTGCTCATCCCCTCTGACCACAATCCTCTTTGTAGACACCCTACCAGCCCCTCTCCCACCTTCTCCAAGCCCCAGCAGCACCAGTGATGCCCCCTAGGACCATGAAGACGATGCTCCACCTCCTGGAGCACCACAAACCCAGCTATTGCCCAGACTGTGGGTTACTCATTTCTGGGAGGGTACCCCTCTCTCCTTGGCTTTGTGTTACAGCTTACTGGGTCGCCACCAAAGAAGCCCAAGAGGCTGCAGTAAAGGAATGGGTCCAAAGATCTCGATATGGGAAGAAGACAAAGCAGCACTTCCCAGAAGCATCAGCTGCCTTTGTGCTCAGCTGTTTGCCCTCATCAACGACTCTCAGAACCTGGACACATGCACAAGAGCATGATCTGATGTGCAACAGGACCCGGCACTGGCCACCACTGCCCATGCTGGGCAAGGTCAGGGCAGTCTGGGGAAGATGTCCACTTTAAGCCATAAAAAGTGTACCCAAGGTAAAGACTTGGGAGCACCGAGAAAGAGACTCTGCTAGTCCACAGTGAGTGACTGGCTGGCACGAGAGGAAAACTAGAATTATTTTGTACAAGAAAACATTATCCAACATGCCAAACCAAATAATTTCAAGACTACAACTACAGTTGTCTTGTTGTATCAGTGAAAGATCTAATGCTTCAGACAAAGAGGTTCTTCCAGTGCACACAGGGAACAGGAGCAACGTCATTTGCACAAAGCATTGAAGAGAACACATCTGAAGAACTGTATGTTATTCTCATCCTTCACCCAAAAAAAGTATCTAACCTAAGTTAACAAGATGCGCAGAGAAAAGCTGCTATGACAGGCAGGGGAACAGAGAGCCTTTCCTACAAAATTAAGGCTTAAACCAGCTAGCCTAGAAACTCAGGGACCAGAAAGGATGGGACTGTTCTCCATGAATGTGCGAGGGACAGAATATTGAGAGGAGAGCTAAGTGTTCTTCTAACACTGCCTGAAGCATGGAACTGGCCATGAAAAAGCTGAAGCTGAAAATGAAAAGGTTTCTAGTCCTGAGGTTTTGGAAAAGTTTTCCAAAATTTCCAGACCCTCCAAAAATACCACCAGCCCCCTCGCCTAACCTGCCCCATCCCATCCATGGCCAAGTGTGCGACTCCCCCTGGGACACGGAGGAAAAAAGTTGTGTTGGACACAAACAGGAGACTCTCAACCCCACAGCATCTCCTCTACCCAGAGGATTGCCCTCAGATGGACACCTTTGGCACCAACCAGAGAGGACAAGCAGAAGGGTGTGAAAACTTCCCAGCCTGCAGGTGCACGGAGGGAGAGGAAGGATGTAAAGGGACCGCAGCAATGGCTGCTGAGCACAGAGGACAAGGCGACAAGCAGGAAAGACAATAAATTAAACACATGGGTGCACAAACCTTAACAAAGAGCAGGTAACAGAGTTCAAGACACTCATGGATGGATCATTAAAAGACTCATTCAAACAGTAACATTAAAGAATCAAAATGCAGAGGAAATCAAGATTATTGTGGGTTATCAGAGCAGCTCTCACAGCAAAGAGCAAACTTGCTGCAGGAGGTTTTAAGAGAGATGGTGGGAACATATAAAACATCGCGGGATGCTGTGTGGCAGGATTACGGGAAGGAAAATGGGGTGGCCAAGGAGAGGGGAGGAACAAGCATGGGGAAATGGAGAGGGTGGAGGATAACAGAGGCTGATCACAGGCAAGCAGGCTGCTGGTCAGTACATTCATCTGGCCAAGCCCTGTGCCTGATTTACCAAACTCTGTTTGAATTTACTGTGTGGGTTTGCTCTCTATTCTGGGTACGAGTGCAAGATCTGCCAGTAAAATTGAAGCTGGACCAGCCAGCAAGTAGGAACCCAATCACTGGCCCAGAAACTGGAGAAAAACTCTGGGTCTGATGAAAGAGCCTTGAAGGGCTGGAGGCTGAGAAGACCTGCAAACATGGACATTTATGTGAGCTGAGTGAGGGAGTACATGTCCATGTGCCATTGGCAAACCTGAACAGCCAGAGGGCAGGAACAGGGTGAAGGTGTCTGTGTGGTTCATGCCCTGGGCTGCTTGTGTTTGCGTGTGTGAGGTACTGTCCTCCTCCTCCTCAGTGTAACTCTGGGGCCAGTCATGTCTGAGCCTGTTTCACTTCTGGAATCTGCACTGAGCCTTCTCGGTAGCTGGACTGGGAATGGGGAAAGTGGTGGCCAGCAGACTGGGAAGGGCCAGTGAGGCCAGATATGCTGATTTTTAACAAAAAAGCAGACTTGGCCCTTGGGTTCTTATCAGCAGGTCAGGGCCCAGCATACTCCACAGACGGACCTACTGCAGCAGCATGTCTGACTTCACACCTTCCCCTCCATTATTTTTCTGCCACTGACAAGAAGATGAGAATGGCCAGACTTGGTCAGACCAAAAGCACACAGTGGTACCTCCCTGGACTAGAGAACAGGAAGTCCCTGAGTCAGCCCATGATGGCATTTTACTCATTAACTTCTCAATTGCCTGGCAATCACGATGCCAAAATTCCCAGCTTTTGCACAGGAGGTTTTCAGTGGCCTTCACTGCTACGTCTCTGCTTAGCAAGAGAATGTGGGCAACCAGCACAGCTTGGTGTCCAAGTGCCCAGAGGAAGGGAAAGAGTGTCCTCCGTCCTCTCCCAGCTTCTGTGTGCCGGGAGTTATATTATTCTGGAAAATGTCTTAGTGACCAGACTGCTCTCATTAGGATGCCCACATGTCGTCTAGTGCTGCTGCTGTCCCAAGTCTCCCCCAGAATCAGGTTTCTTTAGTCTACTCCCAGTCCTGTCCCAAAAACCCCTAGCTGCCCTTAGCCCCTGTCCCCAGTAGTGCTGGTTTCCCAACCCACCATTCAAACTCTCCACTGTCCCCCCCTTGCAGCTCCCTCCCCCACGTCTTCCACTGCCACGATGCCTGTGACGAGTCTCAGGACACGCCAATACATGGGGAAAGCTTGGGAGTTAGTAGTTGATCACTGGTGGGATGGTAACTTTGAGGAGATCGAGGCTGGGCTCTTCAAGCCATGTACTCAAAGCTCCCTTAAGAAAGGAAAGGGAGCTACCCTGGATCTTCCCCCGCAGAGGAGTCCAGGAGGATTTAGAGCACAGGGGAAGAGTATGAAGCTGTACTGTAGTTCTTCTCCTAAGAAAACAAAACTTTTTTGGCAAAGTGAGAACTAAGGCATGACTGGGAGACTATGGCTTTGGACATGGGCCTCTGCCTGCTGGAGCTATGAAACTACCTATTATCCTCATGAGGGTCCTCCTGCCTTCCCCAGCCAGATACAGGGGAACACAGATCCCAGGAACCATCACATCCTGGAAAGCTTTCCAATAAAATATGGGCAACCACTGCTTCATAAAAGTTGTGGTAAACAGGGAATTTAGGTGTTGCCATGTGTGCCCTGAGCCCACTCAGTGCAGTTGCGGGACATTGCAAGCTATTACCAGGGAACTGGATCTGCTTTTCCTACAAAGCTGCCCACAGATATAAATAGAGCTGCTAATGGGGGGTGGAGAAAGGTTTGATTTTCAACTCCATGCTTGTGTTTCCTTCTCGCCACAGGTAGATCTAATGAACATCATACCACAGGCCCTGTGCCTGCGATTAACGCCTCCCAGTCATGCCTGTGCACTGGAGCATCAAAAGATGAGCAAACCCCAAATAATTTAGGCTATCTGGCAACAGTCAGGGTCAGGGCTGGATTTTGGGAGGAAGGGGGAGCACTAGCAAGGAGGGGGAGATGCCAAGTCTCCTGCAAAGTTACGGATGTCAGACCTGGGCCAGAACCCCCCTAAACTTGCCCCACCAAGTCCACCACAGCCCCAGCCTAAGGATAGAGCAGACAGAAGCCAGCACTGACGAGGCCGTATCAGTGCTTACTCGCACCAGCGCTGTGGTAACGCGTGCTCTTACCACAGCAGCTGGGCCAGAGCCCCACCACCAGCACCAGGAGGGAGCCATGGCTGGGAGGCAGCATGCGAGCCGGGGAGGAGGAGGAGGAGGAGACGCTCTCCCCGCAGGACGGGGAGCCAAGGACACGTCAGGCAGACAGACTGGAGGTTAGAGGCAGCAGCAAGATCCACACCACCAGCATGAACAGGAAGGGAAAACAGGCCCGGAGTTTCCAAGGAAAGCGGGGGGAAGTACTGAGGTACGACCTGCCCAGCTCCATGACATCTTCTGTGAGCCTCCCTCTGCTTTGGCCTGCACCGAGCCCTCCCAGGGCAAGGAGAGGCCAGCCATGCCCCAAAGGGCTTCCCTCCCACACGCCATGGCCTCCCAGGCTGTCCTACAAGGCTCTGGAGGGACACCAGACCATGGCAGTGCTGTCACATCATCTCTCTCCAGTACTGCCGCTCACACAGTGCTTGGGGAAAGGGGAGGCATTAACTGCACCCACCACCCATCACAGGCAGGGGTAGAACCACCAAGATCAAATGCACTCCCAGAGGCTCGGGAGCTGAAAAAAGGGCCCCCAAAATCCAGCTTTCCATGACAAAAAACCAGCTGCTGTCTGAGGAAGGGCAGGGAGCTGGATCAGACCCCTTCCCTGCATGCCCGCACTCACCGAGATGACCCGATCTCCTACGTGCAGGATCCCGTCCCGATGGGCTGCACCACCCTCTGCGATCCGGGAGATAAAGATCCCCTGAAACACAGTCAGAAGGGTCAGAGCAGCCGGTGTGTCCCCTCATCGGGGCTGGGCTTTCCAGAATGGCTCCCGGGCACCCTTCCCCCTGGCAGAGCCCTCCCCTGCCCTGGCACTTCCCATTTGTCCCTCGCTCCACACAAACCCTCTTTCTGCTTCTGGAAGACCTGCAAAACCTCTAGCTGTAGCAAAGCCCTCACGTGGCCCAGAGCCCAAAATATATGTCAAGAGGAGAGCAGCAAGATTAAATGTCACTGGCAGGGACTGCAAGCCCCAGCCTCTCCTCGTTCTCAACTTCTCTCCTTCCCTGATTTAAGAGGAGGTTCTGGCTCTCAGAAGCCACCTGGGCCACCACACTGCTGCCTGCCCATGGGTGAGGAAGACCCTGTGCTGCTCCCACAAGTGGTGCTGAGACTCAGGGATGGAGCACCTCCTTTCCCAGGGGATTGCTACTGACCATGTCACCAGCCCGGTAAGGAGTGGAGCCTTTGCCACCAGCGATACTGAAGCCCAGTCCCTTCTCGTTGCGCATGAGGCACGTGGAGTATCTCTCGGTGGGAGGTGTCCCCTCGGGTCGCTCCGGGAAGCGCAGGCCACCTCGCCTCTCACGGGGGCTGTAGTCATCCTCGGGGCGCAGCGGGGTGACAGTGATGGCATTCTCCGGCTCCACCATCCGCTCCCGCAGAACAGTCATGGAGACGGAACTTCCCGATCCACGCAGAGCCTCCACTGCCACGTGGTGCTCAGCGGAGTGCAGGGACACACCGTTCACCTGGGGACAGACAGAGCCAGGTACAGCCCTTACCTCCCTGGGGGGTTCTTCCAGTACCTGAAGGGGGCCTACAGGAAGGCTGGGGAGACCCTGTTTACAAAGGCCTGTAGTGACAGGACGAGGGACAATGGCTTTAAGCTGGAGGGGAGCAGATTTAGATTGGAGGTTAGGAGAAAGCACTGGAACAGGTTGCTCAGGGAGGTGGTTAAGGCCCCATCCCTGGAGATATTCAAGGTGAGGCTCAATGAGGCCCTGGGCAACCTGGTCTAGTTGGAGGTGTCCCTGCTGACTGCGGGGTGGTCGGACTAGATGGCCTTTGGAGGTCCCTTCCGGCCTGGGCAATTCTATGATTCTTCCAGAGCCTGCACAGACAGCCCCAGCCCCGGCCCCCACTGCCCAGCACAGCCCATCCCCTGCAGAGAGCAATGATTATTCCTTTCCCCAACAGTTAAATTCATGGCACCCTAGTATGTCATGTAAAATAGATCCCTCTTCAGTCACAGCTTTGGGAAAAGAGTTTTGGTTTTTCTTTTTCACTTCTGATTCTCCTGCAAAAGTGGATGTACCCTCACAATAATCATTCATCTATCTAAATCTTCAAGATCTGACTCCCTTTTGGAAGTCACTCTGCAGCAAAACTGCAGTACGATTCCTGCAGCACAAGGACACTTGGTGAAACTTAAGACCCTAAAACATCCAAGAGATCCGGCTGGATCAAGTGCTTATTCTTTTATGGACTTAAACTTCATGGAATTACCAAGACAATCCTATGGTAACTGCAAAAGGGAACAAAGTAACTTCTGAAACTCCAGAATCAAGGTTTTCTCATGAAGTGATATAAAAACTTTTAATTATGGAGCCATATGGCACTTTATTTGACTTGTACCACGGTCAATGCCAGGTAAGTGGTGAGAAGACTGGAACATCTGCTGAGGGAAATGCCCAGGCCCCCACTGCGAGTGTGGAGGCTGCAGTGAGCAGGGGTGCAGGAGATCCCTTGGGACACCTCACCGCACAGCACAAACACGGGCCAGCGCCCCAAAAACAGACCACTTAATCCTCTGACCCCTGTCCAGCCCTGTAGCGATATCCACCCTCTCCATAATGCCATTGATCCTTCCTCAAGAGCACCCCAACCCTGTAGGATTCATCCTGGTTTTATATCATTTGAAGACAGGCAAGTAGAGCATGTGGCCGGCTCCCTGGTTAAGATGTTGGCTTATGAGGTCCACTTCTGCCCCAAAGAGGACAGTAGAAGTGTCCCTCAGCCCAGGGGGGGACATGGGCACACACTGCTGAGTGTTTCTTCCCACCTGGGTTACACGACACTTCGGCGTTGTGGGGGAGTGAGCACAGGAGCAAATTCTGCCCTTAGAAAATAGCAAAAGATTAACAGTACTTCTAATTAAACAACTAACCCTTTGAGCCAGGGGGACTTCGTTTTGCTCTTGCACAGCTCTTGGTGCTTAATTTGTCCTACAAACTAGTGTGATGTGAATAAATACATGCAAATAAACACTCAACTGTACTGCTCCCTCCACTCTCCAGTTGCTAGAAGCATTCACTGCCTCACAGCAGCGAGGTTCTTACCTCCAGGAGCTTGTCCCCAACACGAACCCCTGCACGAGCCGCAGGACCTTCTTCTGACACCCGAGAAATAAAGATGCCCTGGAAAGAAAACCATGTGTTAGAAGAGGTGGAGCCCATTCCTCAGCCCTCTGAAGTGCAGAGAGACCACTCCACCCTGCTTGGCTACATGTAAAGGGGAAATCTCTCCCCAGTCCTGTTCCCTGGATGTGAGGACAGGACACCCACACCACCCCAAGTCAGCAGCTGGGAGAAAGGGGAAAGAAACCCCACAGGTAACAAGGGGAAAAAGGGAATGATTCTTTAATCTTTGTCCAGTGGGATGAGAACGTGACGCAGCTGATGCCACCACGTGTATGGAGGACAACCCCAACCTCTTTGCCTTGTCAGTCCATCAGGACACAGATGGGAAAGGAATGGCCATTCTCATCGCTGCTCCCACCTGGAGCCCAGCCCCAAAGCTGATCCACAGGGACATCCAACCTCCACACAGAGAACCCTGAAAGTGGGTGCTTCAATAATTACACAGCCCGGGGTCTTACCTCATCATCGCCCTTATAGGGGGTGGAGCCCTTGCCCCCTGCGATGCTGATGCCCAGCCCCCCCGTCTGCCGTACGATAGTCAGAGTCAACTGGAAGCAGAACGGACACAGGTTACAGGTCAGTGCAGACCAGGAGAACACCCAAAACATCTTGAGGAGCAAGGGGTGACTACTTAAAGAACAAGCACAAGAGTATAAACTCTATCTGCATGCATCTGCTCACACACTTGTGCAAGCTAGGGTATCCTTAGCTTAGTGATATGATTTAGTGGTGGGTTTGTCAGTGTTGGGTTGATGGTTGGACTCCATGATCTGAAAGGTCCCTGCCAACCCAGACAATTCTATGATTCTATGACTCTATCCATGCCTAAAAGGCATCAATGTCACAATACATTTAAACAAATGACTTCTTTCTCACAGTTCAGTCCTGAACCACACCTCTAGAACAAGAGTCAGTTTGCCTGTGATTAACATATCAGACGAGATGTCCACCACAAGTAAACTCAGCAATGGTGGGGTGGGACTGGGTCAAGAAGCATGGAGAGTGTTCCCATCACAGCCCAGGTCTTCCACAGGGCTCCCTTTGGGGTGCAATTCCACACAGTTCCCAAGAGACTGAGGGTCACCCCACCATAGTGACAGTGACAGGAAGGGCAGTTCTTCCACAATGCCCTGGACAGACACTTTGCTCTGCGATGGAGATCGGAGCCTGGCTCCAGAAAAGCCATCTGCTTTGTTTGCTGGCCCCATCCTCTTCTCCTCCCTGCACAGGCAGGCTCAGGACTGTAGCTGTGCAACCCAGAAGTGTCTTCTCTTCCCTGTCTCCCACCTCTACACACCAAATCACGCCCACTTCCAATAGCAAAAGTTTTGGTCAAACTGGAACTAAAATTGCTTACATCCAGGATCCCAGCATAAACTCTCCAGGTTGCCCCAGTCATGAGGAGGAGGACAGGGAGTGTGTGGCAGGGGACAGGGGGAGGAACGGGATGGATGGGACTCTCTTGGGGATCTGTCAGGGCCAAGGACCACAGAGCTGGTGAGGTAAGTGACAGAAATGTGCACAGACCCCTGGAGAGAACCCAATTTGCTGTCACTTCTCTGGAAACAAAGCCCAGAACGGAGAGCGGCTGCTGCAGAGGTGTCTACACTTCAACGTCAGGTCACCTGGGCCGGGCCACAACGTGGCCAGCAAAGGAAGCAGGAGACTTGCTTTCCTTAACCCTCCCCTAAATCCTTCTTGGTTTTCTAAAAGGACAAAAGCAACAGCCTGAGGGGCTTCACACTCTGCTAAGTTTAAACAAAACCAAAAGAACACCACAGGAAACACAGAACTAAAACAAGGTTCCTCGACTGGTACCTAGTCAACTGAAAGCTGCTGGGACCTTCACAAGGAAGCCTCTGATCCCAGAGAGACTGTAAATACATCATCTCCGGTGCAAGGTCTAGAGCATCAAAAGGCAGGGATTATTCAGGTGAGACAGAGGAACGTGGAGTCAGAAGACAACACTGCACGTCACTGATAGCACACCCAAAAACCAGTTAGAGATCAGACTAATGCCCCTTGCGTGAAGAAGCCTCTTGGGATCTAACTACAAATACCACTTCTGTTCTTCCAGTCTCACTGGATTGTAGTAGTGCTCTAAAGACTTACGTCTATATTCAACACAAAAACTTGTAAAGACAATGGAAAAGGAGGTCTCCAGACCAGGACTGGAGTATTCCAGTCACAGGACCCAAGTATTTCCGAGTAAGACAGATGGTGGGTTCGCTCAGCACCTGAACCACCGGGACAGGATCGCTGCTTCTAACAATAAATGAGGGAAATACAACGTCACTGGTTAAAGAGAGTCACTTCCAGCTGCACAGTAAGTTGATTGTGTAAACTAACTGACAGAGGAACAACAAATCCAGCAGATTTCACAAATTCATAGAAACCAGATGGAAAATATGGGGAAATTTGCCAGAAAAGTCAACTGGACTGAGGGTTAAGAATCTTAAGTCTATCAGCATACACTGAAAAAGGAAAACACCGAGGAGGAATCAGACCTAATTAAACTTAAAGATGCTGCTAGAACAGCAGCAAATGGGCTTGAATTGGACACAAATACATTTAGGCTGGAAAAAAGATTTCAAACTCCCAAAGCAAATTAGTTCTCCCATAAAATTGGTGTGGTGAGAAACCAAACTAGTGAATGCCTGTTTGAAGTCTATGAAAAGAATGATTGATGTGAATATGAACCTGAGAAAGGAGGAACTGGGTCGTCCAGTGCCCAGTGCCTTTCAGTTTCATAGTCAGTATTTCACATTCCAGCCCAGACCCTGCTCTCTGCACTAAACCAGTACCTTATTTCTTCCCAAAGGCGCATCTCTCCTAAAGCTGCTTCAGAGCTCCCTCGGCCTCCACGATATCTGGACAGACACTCCTGAACTAGCACAGCTTCCACCCCTGCAACTGCTCCTGCCACTGACTTTCTGGAGTGTTTCTCTCTTCTGGCATTTTTTCCCCTAGAACCAGGGACACCCCCCCCACATACACTGCCCAGCAATGGTTCATCTCAGCTGTAACAACGGATCTGTGATGCCCCCTCCCAGAAACAGGCTGCTCAGCTGAGGCTGGCTCCATCCAGAGGCTGCACGTCCCTGAAGAACACACTCAAACAAGGGCCGATTCTATCTCAACCAGTCTTTCATACATCTTGCTATAGTTACCCTTGAATAGATGCACTTGATCCTGCAAGATCTTCCAACTTGCAGTGAGTAAACCACCCTGGAGAAACCAGAAATGGTGCAGATGTTCTCAGCACAGGAGGGACATAGACCTGTTGGAGAGGGGCCAGAGGAGGCCACGGAGATGCTGGGAGGGCTGGAGCCCCTCTGCTGGGAGGACAGGCTGAGAGAGTTGGGGGGATTCAGCCTGGAGAAGAGAAGGCTCCAGGGAGACCTTAGCACCCCTTCCAGTCCCTCAAGGGGCTCCAGGAGAGATGGGGTGGGACTCTGGATCAGGGAGGGGAGCCCTAGGACGAGGGGGAAGGGTTTGATACTGAAAGAGGGGAGATTTAAGTGAGATAATTGGGAGGAAATTCTTCCCCCTGAGGGTGGTGAGAACCTGGCCCAGGTTGCCCAGAGGAGCTGTGGCTGCCCCATCCCTGGAGGGGTTCAAGGCCAAGTTGGAGGGGGCTTGGAGCAACCTGGTCTGGTGGGAGGCGTTCCTGCCCAAGGCAGGGGGTGGCACTGGATGGCCTTTAAGGTCCCTTCAACCCAAACCATTCTGTGATTGTACGACAGATTGTACGACAGATTGTGATTGTACGACAGGCAGCCAGGGATATCCAAGTATTGCCCAACAGACTTAAAACTTCCCTCAGGGATGTGCCTTCCAACTGCCAAGGATTTCTGCAGCTTGCTCCTGGCATGGGCACAGGAGACACAGAGGCAGCAAAGGAGACGTTCACAGGGTCCAACAGCCAAAGCACGGAGCTCTCGTACCTCAGAACCCCCTGAAAGACCGTGCTGTTCCTCCAGACGTACCCAAGGGAGAGGGGGATTAAGGGCTTTTTTTCCAGAAGGTAACAAGTTTCTGCATGCACAGGCGTATCTTTATAACTTGCTGTACATTTGAAGGTGTGGAAGGGTCTAATCTCTGTATTTACATCATTCCAAACTTTCTGTGAGACTGGATTGTCAATAACACCGCAGAAAGTGCAAACATGCGATAAATGGTTCAGGTCTGTGTTTAGAGAGAAGTGTGATGCTGTACGCCAGCACGTGAAGATGATGAATCACACTCCAATGGCAGCTGAAGAATCCATTTAACATCATCAATTAGGAATAAGCCTTTTAAAAGGGCTTTTAAAAGGGCTGGGTATCTTGTACGCAAGAGTCCAAACAACTGACTGAGATCTTGGATATGCTGACAGAGCGTTCATAAAAGTCTGGGATCTTGAAACCCTGGAATAGCACTTACACGGAGCCATCAGACTGAGATTACACAGGATGATGCCTGTAAGTCTCCGCTCATTATTGCGGCACTGGCTCCAGAAAAGCAGCCGAAGAACACACATGTCTGTGACCAGGGACACGGACACAGCACTTTGGCCAAACACCTGAATTTTATGAAAATTAGGCCTCTCAAAAACCAAACACGCCTCTATTTCATGCTTTGACAAGACTCCAGAGTTGGCTGATAACGTAATAGCAAATATCTAATGAGCAGACTTCTGTAGAACACAGACCTTGCTATCAGAAGACATTGTCACCGATGTGGTACGACGCTAGGTTTAGGGGTGCGTTACCCAAGGTCAGAACTAGCAGAAGCCAAGGACTGGCCCCCAGGGAAGCACCAACAGGGAGGTTGGTTCTTCTGCCAGTTCTGCATCAGCTCTGACCTTATTCCAAATCCCCAACAGTAAAAAAGTGAATATTCCCATGTGAGGGGAGGCAGGGAGCCCTCAAATATGGGATGGGGAGGGACTGAAATATTTTTATCTATTAATCTCATTAATAACTTTATAGGAAATTATTCTTCCATGTTTGTAAAAACAAAGGAATTTGGGAAACCCACTGAAATTTCAGCCGTAGGCTTAAAAAACATACTTTTCAATATAAAACACAAGTAAACTACAGAATTTATTACCAGTAAATACCGTGGAACTCAAATGTATAAAAGGGATTGGAGAGATCAGAGAATTCCACAGACAGCAGCTCCAACAATGAAACGAACCGTCCAGAAATCCTCAACCACAGATGGCAGGGACCTGGGAAAGCAGCAGCAAAAGGCTAACTGCATCTCACTGAGGTCTAATCCCCGAAGAAGGTCCCTCAGACCCACCATTAGGGACGTCTTTGCACAGACGTCACATCCAGTGCTCATGTCCTCTTCCAGGAATACCCCGACAGGAGAGGGGACACTCACGTAGCACCCAAACGCAGGAGCCGAGGAGCCAGAGGCACTGACTCACCGGGTAAGATTAGAAGAGCTAAATCCCTCCGGCCTCAGCAAAGCAGGAACTGGCAAGGAAAAGGGGATAGGCTGGAAATACCGGTGACCAAATGGAAGGTGGAAGATTACAGCATGAGCTGCCGAGGAC